GCAACATTAATTTTGAAAAAACAAGTAGGAAACAATTTGGATTCACCTTTTTCTGGGCACCGAGTGTGGATGGAATTAATCTAAGTATGGAGAACTCTGGAGGCCATTTAGATGCCTGGAGTAGCTGGTGTATTTAGGATAAATTGACAAATGCAAGCTGCAGTCAGAAGCAATGTTCTCAGCCATTTGTGAAGCGCTCGGACAGTACTGCCAATAACGAGCTACTTGTGGGAATGTCTTGCCTCCCATAGCCGGCACTGCAATGCCAATACTACAGGATAGCACACTTCCTCACATTTCACACCTCTTTCCCACTCGGGTCTCTTGAAGCAGTACCGAGTGAGTGCGGGTTGGTACTTTAACTGCGTCAGCACGCGTAGCCTGCAAAAAAACAGGTACAGGTTTATTCCACGCTGAAAGGAAAAGAAAAGACTCACAACATTTTGGCTGTGGAGCCCTCTTCATTTGACACCAGAAGAAGGCTCCACAGCTGAAATGTCATATCTCTACTTTTCCTTTTTGCATGGAATAAACCTTTACCTGTTCCTGAGTCAGTGCAGCCTTCTTGAGGTGTCAAGGAGAAATGCCATCTCACCTGCTCCTTTCTCCAAATTTGCAACACACTTGGCCTATGGTTCCCGAATATATGGGATAGGAAGCTTGACACCAGAATATGAATTTGAATTATTCACACCTGTTAACTAATACATTGCACTGCTGTATGTCAGGGTGCATCACTGTGAATTGAACGCTGGAAACTGTTCAATGTTAAATTATGTCAATTTTCTCGATGACTCTGCATCAGCTCCTGCATGATTCTCTGTGGCTTGAGATGATGATGGTTTCTTATTTTAGTAGTTACATTTTGTCTATGGCTGCCTTTAGACCAAGGGGTATAACTGCTGTTCTGTGGCACTGTAGGACCGCAGTTATACTGATACATGAGATCTCTTAATGGCTGATAGAAATATCTGTTTACTTAATTATAGCAACATTACCCTTTTACTTGATGCTTAGGTTGGAGTCCCTCTTCGTGGTACAGTAATTAATTGAATGCAGCTTTTCTAGTCTATACTTGTCCATTTCATGGCCATTGTTTGGGTAAAGACTGGAAAAGAAGCAGGGTTTGCTGAATTATTTTTCTTTTCTTTGTTTAAACCAGCTCAAAGCAGATGAGGGCTTGAAATAATTGTTGCCATCTGAATGTACTAAATATCAGTAGCATTCCCGACTTTCTGCAATTTTAAATCCGCCATGGCCAAAATGTTTTTTTTTTTGTTTCAGTGTTGTCTGCTTCTGATTTGGTTCCTTTCTAAACAAGCTCTAAAACAAGAGCTGACACACAAACGTCAAAAAGAAGGTACAGTAACTAGGACATACTGTGCAGGTAATGTTTTTTTTTTAGCAGCAGTGGCGCCACCTTCTGGTCTCACAAGATCTCAGCCATTGCAAGCAAGGCAGGATGTGGTCAGTATTGGGGATTAGGGACCTCCATAGAAATGATCCAGGTTGCTGCTGCAATTTTTGTTGTGGACCAGTAGGTGGTGCTTTTCCTTCTAGGCCAGAATTTCTTGAATGAAATGCTAAACCAATAAGATAAGATAACTTTATTGGCCATATACAGTTTCTTGCATTAGGAATATGTCTTTTCGCATACCCCAGCTTGCTCTCCATGAGACACACAGGCACACAGGTGGGGAGAGAGAAGCTTGGGGTCAGAGTGCAGGATCAGCCATTGTACAGCGCCCCTGGAGCAGTTGGGCTTAAGGGCCTTGCTCAGGAGCCCAACGGAGTAGGATTCCTCTGCTGGCTGTGGGATTTGAACCGGCAACCTTACCAGCCACAGGCGCAGATCCTTAGCAACAGAGCCACCGCTCCGCCCTTGCCAATGGTGGTGGTTAATAAGAGCAAGGATGTTAAACTTTGTTTCTAGGATTAATCCCTGTCAGTACTTGTACAGTCTAGCCTGCCTAATGTTCCCCCTTAGTCCAACTGATAAAATAGTTCTCATTCAAAACACAGAATGGGTACAGCGAGTCACCCAGGTGTGGGCTGGATTGCACATTTATTCTAATGCAAAAGGCATTTTGGGATCTTTTGAGGTGAAAAGCGCTATATAAATGCAAGGAGTTATTCTGCTAACTTTATTTTTGGAGAGTGGTTTTGCGTTGTGACATTAAGGGTGTCTATTCTGTGTTTTAACCCTTTGATCATGAGTGAAACACAAATCACTGTGCATTTCTCACGCTGCCCTATATAAACTTGAAGCCAGCACTCACATTTTCAGAGCAGTCCAAAAATGTTGTGCAGTGATATGCCTCTGTGAACAATCATGGACACTGTGATATGTTATGCTATGGATGGTTGATAGCATCAGGATAAGTTACTTCTGTTATTGGTTCACTTTGTTAGTTTCCAAATTGTTATTCTGTAAAACTGCTCCTTTACATTTCATGTCTTGGTGTCAATCTCCAGCATCATTACAAACATATGTTTTTACCACTCAAGTCTGGAAAGATTTCAGAGGCACAGTACACAAAGATGTATGGTATTGGAATTAATTTTGGTGACTGAGTTCTATCTTATTGTCCTTTATCCAAAAATAAATGACTTTACATACATCCATCTGTTATTAATAAGCCACATATCCTGGTTATCATTGCAGAAAATTGCCTATCCTGAAAGCACATGATGCAAGATGGGACTTACAGCATATTACTCTTGTCCGTCATAGTGTTACAGAAGAGGAGACAATTTAGAACAACCAGTCAACCCTAACAATTATATCTTATGAGACAGGTGAGATAGGAGGGAACTGGACTGAACATACAAACTCCATACAGACAGACGCTTGAGTAAGGAGTTGAACCCTGGTCTTTGGAGCTGTGGTGCAGCAATCCCAGCCTAAATTTCACCATGCCAACCCTAATCAACAAATGGAACAACATTTTTGAAACAAACATTTATGCACAAAAGCCAGAATGTTCTTAAATGTAAATGCATTATTACTGGAGTCTCCGGTATGGAAAGCTAGCTTATGCATTTCTAAAGTGTCAGTGCAACCCCTATACTAAAATGTTGCTGCCACTTGCACACACACACACACTAGGTCACTCATCAACTGCAAAATTAAGACAAAAGCAAATCACAGCTAATTTGTGTGCTGGCTCACGTAAAACGCTTGTTAAAATGTTGTCAATGTAACAGTATGCACATGGAGCAAATGTCCTCTTACTTCTGCAAGCCAGCAGTATCTTGGCATGCGGGGAGCAGGAAAGCAGCATCGACAGTCCTCTGAGTGGACATTTCTTTTTTCTTGAAGCACACTGCCATAGCAACTCTTAAGTCCCATTGTTCTTTTCAGCCAAGTGCTGATTAGATTCTCCCCAGCAAAGAACGAAACAAAACGTGTACAAGACGCTTAAAAAAAATTAAAATGATGACCATTGAACAGATCTTAAAATCAAAACACACATAAGGTGGAGCGTGGAAATTAATTGAAATTTCTATGTGCCGTGCTGAAAACCCTTTGCTATAGGATTAAATCTGACTAAATGACAGACACAAATGGCACTCAAGCAGAAAAACCACTGAAGGAATTTACTTACTTATTACAAGGAAAAGTGGTGCATCTTCTTCTTAAATGAAAGCCGAAACAGTAATTGACTGGTCACAGTCTGGTGAATGCAGTGTCCAGACAGGCTCAGCGTGGGAGGGAAATGATAAACTTGTCATTGACTGGCTTTTGTGCTCAGACTTTTCCTATCAAACAAGTTCTTGGCTACTTGCATGTCTCTATTTGGTATTATAGTCTGTGCTCAACAGCCTCTTGCATTGAGTTCTAAGGTTCCAGGGTGTAACAAGCCATACAGCTTCCATCTCAGTACACCGGAACCAGTTTGCAGTCATGCTGGGTTAATAGCTTGAAGCATTCTCCTCTTTTTGCACACTCTGCTTTATCTTTTCCAAAACATTTGCTTTTTCTCAGCCAATGTAACCTACCACAAGCCATTAAAACAAGGATGTCTTCATCAAAGTAGTATTGTATCACTCCTAAAATTCTCCTCAGTAAGTTACTGACTTGCAAGGCTTTGAAATATTTGGTTCCATCATACATCTCTGAATTCCTCCATGTGCACACTCCTTCCTATAGGATTGCCCATTGTACCTGGAATTCAATGCCACATTACTGATGACCATGACTTCTCTGTAGCTGCTCCATTTTTATGCTTTCCTGTGACCCTTTGAGAGGCAGATTGACTAGTTTTAAATCTAAACTTAATACTCACTTAATAAGCCATAATAAACTCTTACTATACTGGCCTATGCTTGAATATCTTACAGTTTGTATTTTTATTTTTAAGGATTTTTTTTTTCATTATGTATAGTGTGCTTGGGTTTTCGAAAGGTGCTGTATAAATAAAAATGATCATTTTTATCATGTGCTTTACTTTTTGCTGCTTGGTATTGTTTTGCAGAATAGCCAGTTACAAATGTGTTAATTCCCTGTTGATTTCTCTGTTACTTTAACTTCTTCAAACTGTGATCTTGATTTTTTTTTCCTGCAGACCCGCTTAAGTTATTTTTTGCAGACACACTGTCTTGCCCAGTGAGATATTTTAAAAACATGATTCATTCAGCAGTAATTCATTTGAGCATATGTATCCCAATTAAATTGTGCTTTAACTCGCATCTTTAAAATATGACAATCAACGGCATAAATTTTGTTGCAAGCTGCAGACTCTAATGTGAAAGGCAGAACCAGATGCTGAATGTTTCGTGTTTGTTGCCAAATGTTGAGTAAACATCCACAGATAGATGCTTTTGCTTGAGCAACTTATAAAATGTGTGGTGGATTTATTTGCTATGCAGTGGGAGTCTCATCTCTTCCACTTTTGCCCCATACAGGGGAATTCACTTTGGTGTGTGAGAATTGTTTTGGTGCCAGACTGAACCCATTTGGCCGGATAACTCATTGGTTTTCTTCTTGCTCTGTGCAGCTGCCTTTCTGGGAGACATAGCCCTTGATGAGGAAGACCTCCGCATGTTCAAGGTGGACCGGATTGTGGATATGACTCGCCACACCATCACAAAAGTAAATGACACCACAGGTGAGTCTTGTCAGTAAGTTGTGTCAGTTGTGGCTGCCTGGATACCCCCTATCTTCAACATGTCCTCTTGTCCTGACAAAGTTACCACAGGGGAAATGTCTGAGTCAGCTGTCAAACGATTTGCGTTCTGTGTTGACAGTTCTCATTGATCCCTGTTAGTATTTCTGCTTTTTGTTTGCTTTGCTATTCCAGTGCAAACAGAGCAATGCAAAGACTTCCGGAGTCTGAGGAAGAAGGGAGGAGAGGATCTCGGTATAATGTTTGGCCTAATGGCTTTTACAGCACTGTGTGACATGTTTGTATCTCTACAACACTGACAGGAGATTGGCAAAAAAGAAAGGTTTTCAGACACTTTCTGAAAAAGAGATGGTATTTGAATGATACTGTACCAAAAACAGAAGACAGATAGTAATAATAACTAACACTTTAATATGCTTTTTCTGGACACTTCACCCAAGCACTTTACACAGGTAATAAAGACTCCCCTTCACCACCACCACCAATGTGCAACCCCACCTACATGCTGCAGTAGCACCTGGTTATTTGGATGTTTTCCCTGTCAGTATCGAACTGTTGGTGGGCTCTCTTTCATGGAGAACCACCATCAGAATGGAATTAATAAATAATACAAGAGGTAATAACTAAAAGCATGGAATTAAAGGAGCTGATTTGACTACTTGTTCAATAGGTATGCCTTATGATCGCTATACTTCCAAGGGATATGTAGGATTGTGGTGGTGTGCTGTCTCAAAGATGTTCTAAGATATGTTGACAGCAAGTCTAAGGGGAAAGATTTGAAAAACATTCAGCAGTTTTATCCCCACATCAGAGTTCCTTACCTTGTTTTGTACCCTGGTACTATGTGGCTGCTTTCCCTCCCCATCGGAGTCTGCCCACCACCCCCTACTTGTTGCTTGTCAGTGCTTCCCACTCAAGCCGGCTGCTGCAAATGGGTTGTTTCTGGCCTGTGTCCACTGGGCTCTGAATTTGTGTGAAGTGTACCAAGTTAAATTGATCACATTGATTAAAATGCTCAAACTGATGCTTTAATGCTGCAGTGAGCCCTTCCCAGATTTATTATCTTGAGATTCTCTGATGTTACAAAGAATATTCTAAGTGCTTGTAAATTCTGTAAGCTGCATTCAAGTGTTAAAGATTAATTTTACTTGACTCAATTGGGTATTTTGTTAGACCGCTGTTAGAAATGATTCTTAGGTTAGTGAAATTTCAGGCATCCTGCTCCTGTATTCCACTTGTAGCCACTATCTTATAAAATCAAATTCTGATTCATACTGTACACCATATCCCCGGATCACATAACTGTTCCTAATGCACACCATTAGAATTGACTGAGGAGGGTTAAATACCTTCTGTCTCTGCCACACGAATTGAGCCTGTTCTTCCTGGAATTGAGCAGCCTGTTCTCCCCTATGGCACTGTGACAGTTCTCTGCATTGGAAAATAAGTATGAAAAGTCAAATGACATTTTGGTCATGGAGTCTTCTGGTCCTAAAGAAGACTTGAAAGTCAGAAACATCATATTTTATTCTTTATTTTTCATTGTGGAATTCATTTCTTCTTGCTCCTCTCTAAAGCCTGACATGAAAACTATAGGAAATTGATCCACAGATGAAGTCAGATGCTGCGGAGTGCTTCTACTGCAATCAGCTCTGCCTCACCAACACTGAAACATATAGTTTGGTCCTCCAGGCTCTGTAGCTGTCAAAGCTGTCTGTCAAAGCACAGTTGAGCAGGTAATTATAATGCAGTAACTCCTGTCTGAGTTTGGCCTGTGACTGCTGCCCTACTCCAGCGGTGCAGGGGGGTTACAGGAAGCACAAGGCTTTTCGGAAACCTGCCAGCTTTTCCTCTTTCAAGGCTGGTGTCACCCGAGCTCCGTTTATCTGAGCTGAAGTGCAGGGCTGCACGCTCGCAGGGCCTGTAGCAGTGCTGTTTTGTCTACCTCTTGTATCAGTTTTGATTAAGCTCTTTCCTCTGCAGCTAATGGCCGTGTCAGCCTCACCCCCAAAAAAGACACTGCAATATCGCTAGGAAATTTGAGTCCCCTGGGGCAGAGGTATTTTTCTTTGTTTCCACCTCTGTTTTGTGTTATTTAAGGAAATACTGAGCATGTTGCCTTATCTTGATTGATTGTGGCTTGGCTGTGGTTTCTGAGAAGGATGTTGTGTTTTGGCAGTTAGCTCATAAAGTTGCACAGTTACAAACTCTTCATTGTCCTTTTTGTTTTTTTTAAATCCATCCATCCATTTTCTGACTTCTTCATCCAATTCAGGGTCTCATCAAGCAGCGGGTGCAAGGCTACACCTTGGACCAGGTGCCAGTCCATTGCAGGGCACAGACACAAACACCCACACTCACACCAGGGCAGTTTTCCCAGAAGCCAGTTAACCCACCACTATGTTTTATGACCTGGAAACTGGAGCACCCAGACCAAACCCATGCAAACGCAGGGAGAACATACAAACTCCACACAGACAGCACCCCCAGTCTGGAATTGAACCCAGGGCCCCAGCATTGCAAGGCAGCAATGCTAAAGACTGCACTGTAATGCTGCCCAGAATTCTAAATCATTACATTTCAATGCTTGAAAGAGTTTAAATACTTAGTCAAATATAATAATAATAAAGGTGGGTAGCTGCGTCAGCATGCGTAGGCTGCAAAGGAACAAGTAATAGGTTTATTCCATGCTGAAAAAAAGAAGAAAGAGAACACAACGTTTCGGCCGTGGAGCCTTCTTCAGGTGTGAAGCCTTCTTCACACCTGAAGAAGGCTCCACGGCCGAAACGTTGTGTTTTTTTTCTTCTCTTTTCAGCATGGAATAAACCTATTACTTGTTCCTAATAATAATAAAGCACATATTATCAGATGGTTATTTATGGTTATTTATTTTTTTGTTCACACCGTTTCGGGCAGTGGTACTGGTTGTTATCCAAAGTGAATGAATGTTTATGTTCATTCATCGAACACAGTCATGTCACGGATAAATATGTTTCAGTGGTGTTAATGGAAAAGTCAAGCTCTTGGAATACATGTTTACTGGGCATTTACATCACGTTGTAAATATGAACCTGAAGCTGAACACTCAATAGTGGGAAGTATTACAACCAACAGAAATGAAAAAATATGGACAGTAACGGGAGGTGAAGCCAGAAATATGCTTGCGATCTTTGGTGCATTGTGTACAGTTAATCGACTTGTGCTCTTTTCTCTATTTTGCTGTCTGTCAGAGGACTATAAGGAGGAAACTGAACTGTTGGAGCTGGCCTATCTCCCAGTAAAACCATTATATATAAATAGAGACAAAACAAATAGAGAGCTTTGCCAAATGAAAACGAAGGGCCTTCCCATAGACATAAAGTGTCCGTGACTCAACAGCAGGCGCAAAAAAAAGAGCAGATGCAAACAGAGCAGCTGGTTTGGTGGTGGGATTTTTTCTTCAAATTGTGGCCGTGCGGTAACTATACAGCAGCTTTCGGGTGTAATGAGCTGTACTCTCTCCATCCCGCACAGGGGCTCCAGCGGACGAAACCAAGGGGGACACCAGGCGGCTGAGGAGGCGGGCGAGGAGGCGGGGCAGGAGGGCGGCGACCTCGAGGCCGGAGAGGGTGTGGCCAGAGGGGGTCATTCCCTATGTCATCAGTGGCAATTTCAGTGGTGAGCCCTTTCCAGACCTTTTTGTGGCCCTGCACGCTGTCCAAATCTCCCATTTCTCCTTCTGTCTGGTTGAGCTTGAAATGCAAAGCACTCCCCCATTCCAAATGTTCCTGTCTGTTGAAAATGCGCGTTTTGCATGACTGCACCTGAGCCGCACTAGAGTATCCCGAAGTCAGCAGGGCATCGGTCGGGTTGCTAGAGTTGCTTTTATGCTGAATCGACCGATATTCTGATATTGTATCACAGATATTGTATGTTAACATGAGAGTGCTCAGGAGCTTAATCCAGCACAAATGTTCTTTGACAGCCTTATAGTCAGTGGAGTGTTGTTATGGCTGTGTATCTGCTTGTCTCTTGTGAGAGTGGTGTCAGAACAGGGGTCATAACGCAGTTCCAGAGGGATTGGTATCATAATACTTCCAACCAGGCTCTGAGTGATTAATAAGTGACTGTACACCTTTAAGGAAGTGAAAGTCTTGTGTAATCAACTGTAAATCCTGTGTATGAATATATAGTTATGAGTCTAATGGTTTGCTTATTGCTAGTCCTGTCACACCAAGTGAAAATGTATATTTGCAAGTCTAGGACACCTGAAGTTTAAAGCAAAGGTAGCTTAGAATCAGATCCTAAGGACCCTATAGCCTTCTGAGGTTGTGGCAATTTACAAACCGTTAAGTGAATGAATTGACTCAGTAATTTTAAATAATTTTGGGGTTTTATAGAAGTTATCATTTTCAAGTAAGTTGTAAAGATTGTAGTAAAAATGAAATATACACATTTTTAGCAACTGAAAAAAATGACTGCAATGGACTGCAATGATAATCAGACTACTGGGGTAAGGTCTAAAATCGCTCTGAAGACACCTGTATTTCAACAGCTATAATAACCTAAAATTGTACTTATTAATTGCTACTAACAAATGTAAGTAATAAATTAATGAAAGAGAAGAGTTTTAATGCAGTACCCAATCAGTTTGTCTCTCTCTTGTTCTAAGATATTTTCTGTGACTGTTGTTCGTTCTGAACAGATGGTTTTTGCTGGGCCAGCTGCTAGTCCCAGGAAAAAGCTTCAGACCCAGCTTGTTGCTGAGAAAAGTGATGGGTAGAGCATACCATTCTTGCAAGGTTTCTCACGGTGTGACTCAGCTGTTGGTCATTCCTGCTGCCAGCTGAGGTGAGGTTGTGTGTGGTTACGGTCTACAGGCAGTGAAGGTAGTTAAGGTGTAAACTGGTCCCAAAAACTTACACCATAGAGACCTATTGCAAAAGGCACACCTATTTAAATTAATATTTTGAAGTATTAAAACTGATAGGGTAGTATTAAATTCATGTTATTATCTCGGGATAGAGAAGTAACAGACATTCTCTACATACTGTCTAGGAAACAAGGAAGTGTACCCAGCCCTAAAACATTAAAATGGGCAGCATTCCCCAATGCAATAATGCTGTCCAGTTTTCATGTATTGTATGAAATTCATAAATTGTGAAAGTATGTCTTTTGTGTTCCTCATCAAGAACATGACCATGACTCTTTAAAGAGCCTGTTAACATCTTTGTGTTCTTGGTCTGGCAAATATTCACCGCTTGTGTCCCGAGAAAGAAAATAAAAAAACAACGAATCTTTGAATCTTTCTAATCAGTTTGAAGCTGTCAAACCTGTTCAGTTTGATATATTTATACAACAGTTTTGTAAATCCTGTATGAAACTGTCGATCTTTGCTGCCTTGTTTTCTAGACAGTATCTAAAGAATGTCTGTTACTCCACCACCTCCAGATAATAACATCAATTTAATTCTCTCCCATCAGTTTTAATGACTTGAAACCACGCACCACAAGTTGGACAGAATGCTTCACCACGATTAGTGACTCCATCTTGAGTGGGAATCACAAGCTTCTGTTTACCTCAAATGATGTCTCAGGAGATTTAGTCATGTTTCAATATGTGGTTCCTTATTAAGTTCATGAAACTTATCAGAGTTCAAATTGGTCATACTCCCTTATTCATTTAATGTACAGTAGCTTATGTGTTATAGCAAATGGATACATATAGATCCCCTCTTTTTAAAGTTAATTTAGCGTTTATCACAAAGAGCTTCCAACAGGGGCAACTAAAGGAATTCTTCATTTAGGTGAAAATAACAAAAAATAAGGATTAGACTTCTTTCTTAAACACTCAAACAACAGTTGTGCCAGCATCCAAAATGTACTCCAAACAGGAGGTGTTACTCACCAGAAGCAATAAAAATCCTATATAATATGGTGCTAAATTATTAAAAACAGAGAAACTGAACAGAATATGTTGTACATTTTCATTATATTACTTAAATGCTACTATAATTCTTAAGAAAAGTAAATTACTAGTTACTAGTTATTATTACTTAAATTATTTAAGAAAATTTAAAAAGCCACTGATATAAGAGGTTTTCAGTCATGCATGCCTTAATATTAAGTCTTTATATCTTCCCTAATATGTATTAATCACGTTTCTTTTCTCAGATGTATAAATGTGGCTACTTTTGACCTGCCTATTACACTTTCTCTCACATCATCCTTTCGATATTACTGTAAAAGGAAATGTAGCAGTTTTAGCAGAAATGTTTGGAGGAAAATAAATATGCAAAACTTAAGAGGTCTGCTTTGATATTCACTGCTTATAATTAGGAAAGGCCTGTATAATCCTTTTGTAGCAAAAAAAAGTGACCGCATAGACTAATTACACTGCAGTCAGACAAGAAAATAGTACTTTCTTTTTAGGCCAGCACTAGTTAAGTGTTTGTGATTAAGAAGCTGTACTGAAAATGTTTCTTTCCAGCCAAGATCATGAGAGTCATGAATCTCATGAAAGCATGGTGGCCAAGCCCTGCTGTCTTGTTAACGAGATTCCTGCGTGGACTAATTAACCACTGAAGTGTGCCCTGGTTTCGAATGAAGGTGCATCCCAGCAAAGAGGTTCATCATCACTTTTCAGCTCAGAAAAAGGCACGAGAACAAGTCAATGGGATAACAAGAGAAAATTAGGGTTTTATTTGTCTCAGTATTCTGAATACTTTACTTTCAAAATCTGTCCTCTTGGAGTATAAACCAACCTCAAAAGACAAAGAACTATAACAGAAAATATAACTGTGAAGACTTATAAAGAAACAAGTGTCACAAATGAGTTCAACTTGCAGAAATGCCTTACAAGTGTTATGTAAGATTTAAAATGTGAACATCAGAACATTTTTGTAAACCAATAAACACCTTTACTATAAGTCCAGGGTCATACATGATACACTTAACATATAATGTATGTGTTCTTAAACTCTATCCATAAGCTTCATCTAGAACATTTTTATCTGGATGTAACAATAAATTAATGAGTCAAATACACATTTTATTAAGAAAAAACTATTTTGACTGTTATTGCAAGTCTGGGTTGTGAAATAAATATCCAGTGGCTTCATTTCTACACCCATGCTGTGTCAGCCGTGCCTGATGAAGAAAAACTAATATAATTAAAGACTTGCTAGATTAGGATAAAATTAAATGTCAGTCACCTTTTATTAAAGTTTCCTGAAAGCTGAAAGGGAAGAGGTCTTCACTGTGGTGGAGCTGCCTACTGTTGAGAACTAAGTGGTCTGCTCTATAATAAGAACCTTTGATGGGAACTGAGACCATCAGAGCTGTCCCGAAACCTAAGAATTCCAAATATAGTATCTAAGTGGTTTTTGAAGGCTGCTAGTGCGTTACATCCATGCATCTGTGTGGCTTGTTAGGGAGGGACAGAGCTCAAGGGACATTTCCAGGGAGTTTAGTGTAAGATGGGTAACTCCCAGTAGCAACATTGCATAGAATGTACTTTTTAAGACCTAGGAATATCCATCTGAATATTTACGAATTAGGTAATAAAATCTTTGTTTTCTGGAAGTCAGAACTTTTTGTGGGCAACTTGGATATAAAATGAAAGTAAACCTAATGCCATTTATTATTTTGTAAAAGGGTGTCCATAAGACCTTTATGAATCACAAATACTTCCATTTAGTTGCAAGTTAACCTTAAAACTACTTTCATCTGAGGCAGAAAATAGAAATTTAAACATATAAAATGACAAAGCGGATTGACCAGAATTCAGTGGTTTGTGATTTGTGCTAGATAACCATGAATTGCATAGAATCCATGAGCATTTTGTTTAACTGTTGGGCATTTTCCAGCTTTCTGGGAACTATTCCGAGACGAAAGCAAATTGTAGAGGAGAACACGGTGTACAAAACTGTGACAACATGACAAAGATCGAATTCCACTATATGCACCAGGAGTGTGTAGTGTAAAGTTATCAAACGTTGTTATTATCAAATTGTATGCATTTTATTATACCCCTCAAAATACAACCATCATTTTAAAAACTGTGTCTTGAGATTTCAGAAGCTAGGTCAGGCTGAGCCTGCTCTCTGAGAGATCTCATAAGGAGAACCAGATCCCTGCTAGATGTGGTATTAATAGCCCAATAGGTGGCGCTTTTGCCTCCAGCCCAGTAATTCAGAAAATGATAGCCTTTTATGGTGACCAGGGACGCTGTTAAATATTAAACCCAGGCCCTGGCTACTTGGCCTTTATCCCTTGGCACTTTTTGAAAGCGCAAGGGAGTTAATCCTGGTGTAATGGCTAATTGCAGACTAGCCTTCCTAAAGCTCTCTCTTAATTGAGGAATTGAAACGATTTCTTGCTTGCTGTGAGAATGCTGCTGCAGATGCAGAATGGCTGTTGTTCATCACCCTGGGAGAATGGAAGCTACTCTTCAGTGCTGGGTGAAGTGGTTCTGCTTCATTATATGTAAAGTACTTGCAGATCCTTTGGGATGAAAAGAACTATATAAATGCAAAGAGAGATTATTGTTCTTGGTACAAAATGAGCGGTTAGTCATTTTTTGGCTGTTATAACATTATGGGAAACCCTGGGGCACATTAGTTACTGCTGCCTGTATTGGGACATGCAGCGGAATAAGAAGTTAAACGCTAAGAAAAAGTGAATGTTACTACCTACCTTGATATGTGGGACGTGCTTTGTTTACTTTGCAGAAACACTGCGAGCAGCGACAGAAACGTACCGACCAGGTCAGGAAAGCATTTTGGAATTCGACTCTTAATTTCTTACCTCGTTTTTTCTGCTTTTCTTTTCGTTCAGGCAGCCAGCGAGCAATATTCCGACAGGCGATGCGCCACTGGGAGAAACACACATGCGTGACATTTATCGAGAGAACGCTGGAGGAGAGCTACATAGTCTTCACCTACCGCCCGTGTGGGTGAGTCTGCGGTCATTTCCTCTGGCGCAGGATTCCAAAAGGGCCAGAGCATGAGAAAGGTTACCATTGGATGTGATCATCCATCGTATCTGATCTCCAGCTGCTGACTTTATTGAGTCATTAACCACAATATTCCCTTATTTTCCCCGTACCCTACTCCCTCCTTATTCAGTCCTCAATTTATTGTTGTGGATTTCTTCTGTTTTGAAGTAAGTCTCTCCAGAGAGTCTGCTGGTCAGTGCTGAAGAATGCCAGGCCCATCTTTGCTGGAATTAGTGTGGTTGCTGGTCTGGAGTCTTTGCACATTTTCTAAGGAGCTGAACAGAGAATTCTAGAAAGGAATCCCTTGTGTAAATTACAGTATATGGCTTTGGCACTATAAATGTATGCAGTCTGTTTTTGTTGTCAGTATTTTCCATTACTTTAACTTTTTCACAGCGATGCAGAGTAGAAGGAAAAAGGAATTGTGTTTCACTGCCACTCAGACTCAAATATTCTGCATACAAAACAGTGGGAGTTGGTAATTTCAGTAGTACCACTGCGTATTTTCCACTTTAATAAAATCAAAGGAAAGCCTTTGGAGTTCATGGCTTGGCCACGTCACGTTAACAGTAAATTAGAGAGTAGCCTCCCTTTGCTGAAGGGTGGAACATGTGTTAACTGTCACAGCAGTGTGCCGTGGGACAGAGCGTTTGTGACATGAAAGGTCCTATCTGCTCCACCCTTAGTCCATAGGCAAAGTCACCATACTGTTCTAATTGTCTTTGCCTTTTCTCTCTGTCTTTTGGGTGTATTCCAAGTGCTTGTCAAAAATCTTGACACAGTAGCACTGGAGAAAATTGAAATTTTTGGTCAGCCCACGGAGTTGGTTTGAGCGCTCATAGCTGCTGTTTGACATTCCTCAAAATGATTTTATTAGTGTCCTAAAGTGCCCTTCCTCTTAAAGAGAGACTGGCTGAGCTGCCAGCCTGAAATCCGTGTAGCTCAGGGTGCTCCAGCCCCGTTCCTGGAAGGCCACTGGGTCTACAGGATTTCGAGGTCTCGTTTCGGCAGCAGGACCTGAGGGGCAGTGGAAAACTGTTCCATTGATCGAGCTAAGCCACTAACCAGCTGATGAACTTGTTAAGAGCAGCGCTGGAATGAAAGCTCCCAGACTCATTGGCCCTCAACCAGAGCAAGGATTGGATGCCCCCTGCTGTAGCTGTATAAGAGACTGCAAAATGGTGAAGATCTGATTCCAGAAATGTAACCGTTTCCTGAAGGGTTGCATTAAGTCATTGAGGGATCAGATTTTGGAAATCTTCCGTATCATCCTTCACTGGGGACGCCATTCTCTTCCCAACGAGCTGAGTGAGTCCCCTTGCCTCTTCCCTCCTGCAGATGCTGCTCCTATGTGGGCAGGAGAGGGGGTGGCCCCCAAGCCATCTCCATCGGGAAGAACTGCGACAAGTTTGGCATCGTGGTGCACGAGCTGGGCCACGTCATCGGGTTCTGGCACGAGCACACCCGGCCCGATCGAGACGAGCACGTCAGCATCATTCGGGAGAACATCCAGCCAGGTAACCATGGCACCTCCGCACCTCCTGTGGGCTGAGGTGCGGAGTGGGTACGGGATGGAGTCACTTGTGAACACATTCCTTTTTTAACGGTGTGTTAGATGAATAGAGAAGTGAATGTGGAGCCGTGGTTAGGGCTCTGGGTTAAAATCGTGGGTGCGATACTGCTGTTGTACCTTTTAAACAAGTTACATCACCTGAATTGTTCTACTCCCCAGCTGCATAGGTGATTTCTGCTCTGTGTCAAAGCCACAGCCAAATCAATATATAATATAGGTAAAATAAAAAGCAGAATCCTTGACCTATGGCAGTGCATGTTAAGTGTATAAATGTATCACTATATTGTTTGCCAGTTATGGTATCTGTATCTAAGTGAGATTGGTAGCAATGCAATGAAAGACTGTAGCATTTTGTCCAGGGCCTGTGGCTGTCTGTGTAAGGAAACACTTCTCTTTCTCAAGCCGGAAACTTCGGCCTCCTCTGTTCCTGTTTCCGTGTTGTGGTTTACCACCCACTGTTTTTTTCAAAAAAAAAAAATTCCCAAAACAAATCAAGAATATTATATTCTTGGAACTTTTCTCGGTACAATAGTTCACATTCAGTCCACCACAATGCTGTTTCATAGCATGATAACTGAAGAGATACATAATGTTCCAAAAATAAGCCAAATAAGTTCATAATAATTGATCATATGTGTGTTCTTTTGGCTTTATAATCTTTTCATCTGAGTGCAGTATGGTTTTCTACATTTTCTTGTCCTCTGACAGGCCAGGAGTATAACTTCTTGAAGATGGAGCCGGAGGAAGTGGATTCCTTAGGAGAAACCTATGATTTTGACAGCATTATGCACTATGCCAGGAACACATTCTCCCGGTAGGTGTCCAGCATCCCAGATGTGGAAAGCTGTACTCTCTGGCAAATTCTAGAAAAGGAACCAGCAGCGTATCATGGTAATCATGTGTAAAAGAGGGACCTTGATGACCCCCACACATTTGTAACTCCAGAACATCGCCACATAGGTCTGTGACATAAACATTCTTTAACTATCATGGCCATTTTTAGAAGTTTCTTGTAAATACATTGTGTTTAAAACAGTGTACATTGTGATGACTTTATACAGGATAAAGTATAGCAGAAATGGTGTATGTATTGGTGTCACAACATAAGTTATCTATGCAATGAGCGACAGGTTCAGAGAATCCTGCATAAATGATATGTTTCATTACTGCTGATTACTGATAAGATTAGTTTAAGTACAATGTTTTTATAGCAAGCGGTTCGATAACAGGAAACTAAATGTGATCCTAAATGGTTACCTTGAAGAATTGAAGACTTTTGGTAAAAGAGAGACCTTTGTAGAAATAATGTTAATACATTAAAAAAGGAACCATGATAATAGCACTTTTTTAGATATTTAAAGAACATTGAGACTATATTAAATTGTAAGAGAACATGTAGCGCTTTAGTCTTTTCCAGCATTTGGCATATACAGTAGTTAGAATAAAGGCCTGTTTGTCATTCATTGCCTTAGGCCAGCAGCAGAATTTCTACTTCACGTGAACCAGGGCTCGTCTCCAAATGTACAGTATTCAATTGTTTCTGCTTGGGCATTTATTCAATTATCCACTGCTGCTGTGCTATTGTTCCTCCTTATGTTTGTCAAATTGTTAACTCTGCTAAACAGTTTCTAATGGGAATTTTCAAACTACTCATAGCATTGTCCTTATAGGTCTTGTATTTCAGCTTCTCAAACTACTTAAAGAAGTAAGTCAGGGGCCACAGGTCCTTGGTCTCCTCAAATCAACAGCATCTTTAGACTTAATAAAAAGGAATAAACTGATGTATTTAGAACTAATGTAAGCTTTCAAATTGGGTCCAGAGTTTCTGGCAAAAAAGCTCCCACATACTCACAGGATTGTTGTTCTTGAAGACCGGGATATAATAAGAAAAATGTATTTATGGCACTAGAATGAAAACCTAGTGCCTAGTGCCTTTAAACCATAATGATTTTGTTGGACAACACTACAACACTACAGAGCACCCTGACGAGGCAACAGCAGTTTTTGTTGGCCAGCAGGTATGGTCTCTGGTTTTTGCCGTTATAATTTTGGCTGACATTTTCCCCTTGTCATCAGATATCTGACTAGAGAAAATGTCTGAGTTTATTGGTAAGTTGTTTAATTAGATTTTGAAAAATACACTCATTTCCAATAAGAAACACATTTGTACTGAATTATACCTTTGCAGAGTGCTGTGAATAATTGTTTTTTTTTTGTGAATAATATGCAGGTAATCGTTAGGGGAGTTCATTATAAACAGCTCAATGACACTCTTAATATAGCTGATGTAGTACAGGTTGCAAGGAACTTGGAAATAACCTAGAAAACATAGCAGTTACTGAATTGATCCTTAATTCTTGCTTCTGTTGAAGTTTGAGTAGCCCTAGTGTAGTGCCTTAAAGCCCAGGAAATCTAGAAATGTGCATTAATGTAAAATGCAAAGAAAATGTGGTGTTAAACTATCATAAGTGAACTGTAAGCTGAATCAATTTCGGTTAAGTTTGAAATGAGTTAATTCTGAAGTATCAGGAAGTTATTAATAATTGGAAAGTCTGATGATATGCATAAAGATCCACAAGCGAGCTTTCCTGCCCGTGCTCCTGGTTTTGCCATTTGTCAGCCTGGTGTCGCCCGAGGACGAACTTTTGTCCCATCTTTTAAAAACCGTTTGCCATTTCCTGAAAATACCTACATTCATCAGCAAATCTGAAATTGGAGACGATGATCTTGGCCTGAAATATTCGATTATGTGGAGCCAAATTCGCAGTAATGTCCCACCGGCCTCCTCCGTTTAAGAACCGAGTTGAAGGCGTTTCAGGGGAAGGGAGAACAGGCTGGGGTGGTTAGGTGTCCTGGAAAAGAATGTTTACAGTCTTCAAGGCTCCTTATCTCACTCAGCTCTTTTCCATGAGCTCTTCTCAGGTCCCTCCCAGCACGGCCTGCTGCAGCATACTTCAGTGACTGAGTTATTACTGTGTCTGCTGCAGAGCAGCATCTGATCCTACCCGAGCTTTTCAAAACTTCCTTTCCAAATTCCTTTTACTGAAATCTGATTTATTACAGACTTGTACGATCTTTTAATTGACTTTCCATTTTCACTGGAACCCTATGTGCAGTCTTGAAAGGAGCAGCTTATATCCTTGGCATTACGTTGTTGTTTAGTTACCTAATCTTTGTGGGCTCTCTCATGTTTGATCTTTTTTTCTATTCTTCTTTGGGTTGGGTTATTTTCTATGGTGAACAAATGTCAAGTGCCTGCCCAGGTGGAATATTGCTCATGTAAAGACTTGGGACCAAGGAGTGTTTATAGGGGAAGGAAATTAGTGTTGCAAGAAGCATTCAAGCCCACTGAGGAAGAACGACAGTACATCTTTTAAAAAGCAGTGAAAAAAATATATAGTATATATCCACCTATAGCTGAGGTGTGTTAAGTGGCATACCAATAAGTCCTTCCCATAGTTAACATTGTGGCAATCTTTTATAAATAAAAAGTTTGAAACCGGCTTCACTTTTTTTTTAGTAGTCTTCGCTGATGAGCTAACTTTTCGTAATGAAGCTGTACAGAGTGGCTACTTTTGAACTGCAAAAGTAGCCACATACTGCACATACCTTAAACAACTTTATATTTTGATAGAATTAATGTTGTATATAATTGTATGTTTCTTGGTGTTTGGATGATACTTATTTAATATTTTTATTATAAATGATAATGGTGGCTGTGGCCCAGGTGCTACTATGACTGTGGCTGCATTTGTTATTATTTTCAGCAGTTATTACTCTGCAGCAGGGCTTGGGCCAGTGCTCATGCTGTTGCAACAATTTACTGCAGAATGTGTGGATAGAAACATGGTGTAGAACATTATGCATCTTCACGTAGCGTCATCATAACCTGTACCTGACCTCCAACATGTTTTAAAAAAAATGCCAGATTAAATTCTTCACTCAGGAACTGGCAAGCATGCTGGGAAAGTGACCCATGAGGTTGGACAATGGCCAGTTGGCTGCTCTGGCACTCTGATGTTACTCTCTTTTGTGACAATTGTCCTCACCTGGAGGATCAGTTTAAGCAATTTAATGTACAAAAAGGCCCCCTTTAAGATGCCAGTCTCATTCACTTAATCCTTCCCTGCTTGTGAGGAGCAGATTGTGTGTGGGTATAGTCCTGTTCACACCAAGCCATTTACAAAGTGTACTGTACATTTAATATTGGCCTAACTTTGCAGCATGATTTCAATAGAAGAGGATGCATTTTATTTCACAAGCTGGGTGGGGGCTGAGATATCCTTAAATCTCACTCGATTGCATTGGTTTCCAGAAATAGTTTTAATTGATAGAGGTATGGCCACATCACGTTTGGCTACCACACAGACTGTGGCATCGAAGTCAACGTTTCTTGTTTAATCAGCCTACTTTTATGTGTGAGTTTCCATTTTCTTGTGTGTTGTCTCATATTGCTTTAAATGTTTAATGAAATGTTAAAGAAAAGAACAGCATGCATCTTCTGCCTGGCATATACTGTACATGTAGACCAAACTGAACAGGACAGCATGGAAAGATAATTAGAGATCAGCTGTTGGATGTTAGGTACTGAAACTCTGAATCTCAGGCATTTGACACATGCATGTTAAAAGCATTTGCCAGTGTCAAATATTTGATGACACTTGCCTACAAAAATCAAACTGTAGGTATTGTAACATAGCTGTTTAAACACTTACAATATAATGTAGCCAATACATTGCTGTGACTGACATGATTTAGACTAAGTTCTGTACATTTCAAAGCAATATTATATTTTGCATAATGTTTTACCACATTCTTGGTTTTCAAAGTAAATATGGCATACTGTATTGGTGGTGGCACATTTTTATTTTAAGAAATTGTTTTTTTAATTTCCAAGCAACATTGAATTGGTTACTTCCTCAGTAACATGGCAGTAGCCATCAGACTGCTTTAATCAAATTACTCATGCTGTGGGTGTCAAATGTGTCTATCATTTGTTCCGGACCAAGTGATAATTTGCGGATTCCTTGATTCGTTTAAAACGTGAAACGCATAATTATAAGCGCCGCAGAACTTTGAGAGCAAGCCAGAGACTGGCTCAGAAGTCCCACTGGTAAGCAGGCACCGTGTGGAATGAAAAAAGAAGGAGGTTTCATCACAAGTGTCTCGTTTATACCAAGCCAGACAAATGGTGGCTGGTTCCTCCTAAAAGCATGTTGACAAATATCTTTTTTTGGTGACTTTTGCTGAAGAGGTTTTGCATTGAACAGAACAAAAAGAATTCAGACAGGGGAGGTGCTTCAATTTGCCTTGGCTGCAAAAGACCAAGCAGAGGCTGATCCTGCACCAAAAAGTACTTTCACACCAGGAGAAGACTTAAACAGTCGAAACGGTGGGCCTTTATTTTATTCCTTTCTTCAATATTTCACATATGTTTCAGATATTATGACAATAGGCAATCTGCTTTTATTGAAGTCTCTCCAAATATATATATTTTTTGTATTGTGTAATTAATGGACTGGCTGGAGAGCCCATTACTTACTCTGCTATATACAGTATCACATCTCACCAGCTATTGTTTAGGACAGCGGAGACATTTAATTGGGTGATTGAGGTTTGTAATGGTCAGAGCAGCTACAACAGCAACTTCTCACTTGCATATGTGTTTGATTTGGGCTGTGCAAAGCGTTACTTTTCTTTTTTTCTGCCTGTGCCCCTTCCCAATTATTTTTTAAGTGATGTCGCCAATATAAGAGCTATCCTCTAATTACACTCAAGCTGCATTCATCTAGTTAAGGAACAGGTTAAGGTTTATTCCATGCTGAAAGGAAAAGAAAAGAAACAATGTTTTGGCTGTGGAGCCTTCCTCAGGTGTGCCTAAACGTTGTCTCTCTTTTCTTTTCCTTTCAGCATGGAATAAACCTTAACCTGCTCCTTTGCAGCCCATGCATACTGACACTGCCACCTACTTGAAATTCATCTAGTTATGAAGACTTGGGGGCGGAGCAGTTGCCAGTTCAAATCCCGCGGCCGGCAGAGGGGTCCTACTCCGTTGGGCCCCTGAGCGAGGCCCTTAACCCCAACTGCTCCAGGGGTGAAAAGACTAATTCCTAATGCAAGAAATTGTATATGGCTAATAAAGTGATCTTATCTTATACTTATATAACCCCAGGTCGGTGTCTTCTGAATAAATTGGTTTTATGCGATTCAAGTGAAGGCCTTTTTTTAACATATTCATGCTCATGTAGTCTGGACCACACCTGAAACTCCAGAAAAAGACAGCAAAGACCCAGTAAAAGATTAACATGAAGAGAAGTTTAAAATGGTTAACTGCCAGTGTTTGTAAGATGACATTTGTTCAGTGTCTTCAGAATGCCGACAAGAGTTGGTCAAGACTGAGTTTTGGCTGCATACAGTTCTTACAGAGAAGATGAATAAGAATCATGCTGTCTTTTAGGAAATGTTTAAAGCACCACTAAATACGATCAGGAATGTCAATGTTCCTTCCTGGATTGTAGTCTGTTGCCCAGTTTTCCCAAGCTGTTTTCCTTGCCTTTTCCCACATGTTTGGGACAACACAGGCTGACTGTACACACAAGCACAGAGAATGACTAGCCAGCTTGTGATGATTACGGGTTTCTTGTAATATGAGAACCAGCTGTGTGGAGGGAGTTTTTTTTTTCTCTCCATCGCGCTCGCAGTTTCACGCTGGAGGCTGTCTGAGCTGGATTGTGCAGAGCTCGCAGAGAGCAGACTGAAAACAGGATAGTGTGTGATCCAGCGAGTGCAGAGGGTTTGTGGAAAAATTGGCCAATCTAGAAGGATTTGGACTGAACCTCATTGGAGATGCTGGTTCAGTACAGTCCTTCCAGAAACAGCTGCATGTGGGCTTTGGAAAAGACACTTGGAATCCTTTCCGTTGTTTAGAGGATCCACAGTTTTTGGAAATTTAACCATATCATTGACTGACCCGAGCTGAAGTAACGTTTATGTGTTGTTATCCTTTTGAGATTTCCTTTTTTATATATCTTTTAAATCCTTGAGTGGATTCATTTGCATGTTCTGTAGACTCCACAGACAGTTTCTGTAGCTACAGGCTGTTTTGCACTAACTGGGGCTTAGTGCCAGGAGGCCTTGTCCAGACTATTTACTCTTACTGCTGTTATGTCCTTCGTTTGTCCCGGCAGCTCTCGTCATTACCAAAAGATTATAACTGAGAATCGAGCATGACTGTATTAAAGTCTCTGCTCTACCTAATCAGCAGGACACACCCTTAAATAGTGCTATGTGCAACAGCTAATCATTGTGATTAAACGCAAAACCTTTTTCATGAGCATCTCAGCCTCTGAGAGCTTTCTCCTTCTCTTCTCAGAGCAGCCCAGTCATACATCACATTGATTGTTTTGCTGTGACACCTCTATTAAGTGCGCCATTTAACCTAATTCACCGTTTTATCTGTTAGGGGAGAGAACAACAGCATCCAGATTCTGGCAGCACTAAAAGAAACATTGTAAAGTTTCAAGGAGAAATGCTTCGCAGTTCACTATCAAGCATCTTGAATGAAGTGAGGGGGGTTGTGGGCATCTTGCTTAGTTTACATTCCTAAGCAATCTGTTTGAAGCACATTTGAGGTGTCTGACATGCAATGTCCTGCTCTGTTATCTTCAGTGTTCCATGGTAATCTTTCCTTTTGCGGGTCATGATCCGGAACTTCCACCAGGGATCAGATTAAACTAGGGTTTTCCTCATGTTTCATTTTCTCGCTCCTAGCTCAGTACATAGTGTCTGGCATTAGACTTTTGAGGAATTTCATGGATCTGTGCCTCTTTACAACATTCATCAACCAGCATTGTAAATGGGGATATTGTTTGACATGATTATATGGCATCTTCATATTTTAAAAGGTTTGTCAGGCTTTTGTTTATATCTGCTTTTAGGGTTTTGCTTAATTAGCTTTGAATTGATCGTCTCTGTGGGAAGCCCTCATATGGTGTTGGCTGTTGTTTTAAAGATTTCATGGATGGCGGTGATGAGTCGAAGTGGCTCCTCAACAACAGAAACAGGTCCTCTTGTCTCCGTCTTCCACACATCCTGAACTGTTTTGGATAGTTTTTGGCCTGTGAGCAGAGCAGGGCCAAGTCAAATAAAGATCTGCCAAAGTGTCTTTGTCTCTCCTGAAACCAATTGGAGTGCCGTGTTCACCATCAGCCAATGGGCTGTTTCTGAGAGCCAGCAGGAACTGTTTAAACTGTTAGCTCAGAGGCCCCACTGTTTGCACATGCCTGGAGTTGATGAGCATGTCGCCATGGGAACTGAGTGGGATCAGACCCTCGCTCAGCCTGGCAAAAAAAAGACTACAAAGTATCAAAATGTCAAGCTGGAACAGCAAGTGAAAAGACCAGAGCCTTCTGGTCCTTGTTTTCTTGTGTAGTACACATTCCTTTTAAAACTCCAGCTCCCCAGATCCTTTCCCAACCTTGCCCATGCCAAACTGAATTCTGGGCTTCTTCAAGCTTCAGCTGGTTCCTTTGCGAAACAGGCAAATTGGAAGCTTACAGGACCACCTAGGTCCTTCATTGAGAACCTGGATTGAGTTGTTCCTATAAGAGAACTGGTGACTCCACATCTATGAGTGGTCCGGCACCTTTCGAATATCATTTGGATCAGCATATGCAATGACAATTTATAGTCCTTAAGAGAGTGTTATTGTAGATCGAATATCTGTCCATGGAATATACATTCACTGTCGGAATTCCATTTGGGGAATGGCATTGTTTTACAGAAAGGAGAATTATTGTTTCTTAAAGGACTGAAGGAAGGTGGTGTTAATGCGTTGGCTTCTTTGATCTCAGGTTTCCTCTGTTATAGATAACATATCACAGTGCTAGAGATGGATTTTTGCGGAAAAAAAAAGAAACTGACTCCAAAATATGGTCTTTGTTTTTGTGTACCTTTTGGCACACTAAGTTGAAGATCTGAATAAAATCGGCTTAATCTCAGCAAACAAAAAAATCTCCCAACCCTGTTACTCTGATTGTCTCCACAGGTGTTATTCCCTGGCACTGGTTTGCTTTGGCAGATGTCTTGCGCACTCAGAATTAAACTAGTCACAGCACGGCCTACTGAAGCGCACCTGGGAGAGCAGGGGTCAAAGAGTGCGTGTGTAGTTTTGGGTCCTGTGTGCTTTAAGAAACACCATGGTTGCTAAATCATAGCTCTACCGAAAATGGAAATAGTTTGAGAGAGAGGACGTAGCCCATAAACCTCGTATAAAAAAGTATAAAAATGGTATACTACTGTATATGGTAAGTCCACCTTTCACACCTTTTGTATTCCTTTCTTCTCCTCAATGCCTTCCTTAAGGTCTTTTTTTTGGCTCTTTCTGCCTAATAGGAAGGGAGGGGAATCCCAACAGTCTTGTCCTCGAGACTTGATCAATCAGCCAAACAAGTCTATATTTACCCACCAGATTGTGTAGTTCTGGGGAGGTTGTCAGCTGCTGTTGGAATGTACTGAAAGATTATCCCAGGTCTCTCTCTCCGTTTCATTTTGCCGCTTTTCCCCCATTGTTGACTTTTCCTTATGGTTTTCTTCTTCTGTGACTTAGAGGGATCTTCTTAGACACCATACTGCCTCGATACGATGTGAATGGAGTGCGGCCTCCCATTGGTCAGAGGACAAGGCTCAGTAAAGGCGACATTGCACAGGCACGGAAGCTGTACAAGTGTTCAGGTAAGGGTGACTGCTGTTTCCCAGAAAAAATTCGCAATTGCTCCAGTAAAGAAAAAATCTGCCTTGTGTTCTTGGAACCTGAGAATACCTAACTTACTGTGCATTTTAATGGGCTTAATGGCCTGAATGGCCAACCGTCTAGAAGTGTAACTGTTCTTATTTGCCAAGCCGTGATGCCGTCTGCCTGTTCTGAATCGTCCTGAACTGCAGCTTGCTATCTTGGAGGTGTAAATATGGAATTCAGTCCTGACTTTGTCAGCACTGTGCACAACTTCGAAAAGGAATATATTTTTCCAGAAAGGAAAAAAGTTAAAGAAATCTGAAAAAATCTGAAATCTGAAATCTGAGTCACCATATTTTTTTTTTTTTGCCTGTAAAGAATCTAAAAATAACATTAGTCATTTCTTGACAGTTGTCCATAACTGTATGTACAGTATGGCATACAACTAGTGTGGCATACAGTACATCTTAGAATGGATTTCCCTGCGTTTTTTTTTTCTGCCATAATGTCACGTTTCCTGGCATCGGAGAATGACTCTGAAAACATCTTTTTTCTCCCGAAGAGGATTGCGGACTTTTAAATCAAACATAGGATTCCCTTAGTCTCTGGAGAAGAAGCCTCCCTTTCAGGGCTGTTTTTTTGAGAGTAAACAAGACTTCTGTCTGAAACTTATGGTTGCTTGCCAGGGGTGGAATTAGAGTGGAGTTTGTACAGTGGAAATACATATCCATCAACCAACTTTCCACCCCCCTGCTTTAAACCCGTTGTTTTGTAAGAGCTGATAGCAGGAAAGTGGCAGCAGCTGGCGGTGATGAGACACCGTTTCCCCGGTAACAGTATCCGTGTCCCCCTGGATACATGAGAGAATGTAAATAGTGCACTGTGACAGGAAGTTTACCAGTGCTTTCTCAGAAGCAGGCAAATTAATAGCTTGCCCTTGGACGAGTGAAGGATCGCTCCTCTCCCTTTTCTTCCAAGTTACGCCATGGAGGGCTGATTGTGGGAAGTGCAGGAGCTGGGAGCAAATCTTTTCCTGTCACTGGTGACAGTGCCTGTGAATGCTGATTGCACCACAGTCGACGCACTCCATGTCACAGACTCAGGAAAAACAAAATTGTCATTTGACCCCATGATCTGTTTCTCTAACATCAGAAACTTTTTTTGGGAGATTATCGTTTTTTGCTGTTTGTTTGTTAACAGGATGACAGTCTAAAGGAAGTCCTTGTTCCAGCAGCATTTGTGTAAAGACGTGCCTCCTGTTCTCAGTCTGGACTACCCCTCATTTCCCACTGTCCTCGTTCTCATGCTTCATTGTCAAAGCTGGACATTCATGGAATTGACCTTGTCAATACCTTCAAGGATTTTGAATACTTGAATTATGGCACCTTATAGTTTACCCTATAGTTGCCTCCTTTAATTTGGTGCACACAGCGATTAGGAAGTTTTGTCATGTTCCAGGGACTTGGAACTTTAAGTATTTCAGTTTCCTAAATAATGTTCGTGTCTACCTTTACACCAGTGTTATCCAGAACAGTAGTAGCTTTGGTGTCTTCGTCTGTAATATATTTAATACCGTACTTATTACCTTTTATCACACATAAAAGGAAATGCAACAAGAATATTTTCATAGTGGCGTCCTTTTGAGCATCACACTGGACATTTTTTTTTTGGACAACCTATTGAGGGGCAAGAAGAACTTGTGGATTTTATTGTGCAGCAACACATTTTTTTCCCATCCAGACTTCTTTCGCTGTTATTTTCCCTCTCACCTCCTGGTTTCCATCGTGCTGAGCTCTTGCGTCCAATGTAACTGCCTGCCTTTAATCTAATTAAACATATGGTTACAGACGTTTCGACAGCCTGTGGAGGGAAGTGCGAGCTTCCATCTGCCATGGAGACAGTGAATGTTTAGACTCAAACTTAGTTCCAGACTTAAGGGAGATGCTGTTCAGCCTTGGTGTGATAGCAGATTGATAATTTAATTGGTGTGCATGGGTGGAATATATACATACATGAAAATGTTACCAGTTTGTTCTTTTGTAAAATATACTGCTACAAATGACAGCACTGAATATGTTCTTTTCCTGAACCTCTCTACACCTTTTCTCTTAAATTGTGAAGTTAAAAAAACAGGGTCCAAGTGCTTTATTACTTTATTGTTGTAATGAGATGAGTTGAGCAATTTGATCATGTGCTTTCATCCATTAAGCCTATGCCATTGTGCCATTTTAGTGAAATGAAGTTTAAAATTACCAGCATTCCTGCATCCATTACAGTAGGTCTTCGAAATGACCGTCCCTCTATCAGGTCCCTTTTTGCTTTGTGATTGCACTGCTTACTGCAGATGTATTAAATTACAATATAAGAAAGGCATGAGAGGGATCTCCCAGATGAGAGGGAGTCATTCAGTCTGTCATGTTTATTTGGTATTTAAGTACCTAAGTGAATCTATATTTTTATCCAGTTGCCTCATGAAGGTGTCCAGAGTTAGCCAGCATCTCTGTGTGTAAAGCAATTATTCTTATTTTCATTATTTAGCCTCCTAAATTTTATTTTATTTAGCCTCAATTATTTTATAATTGTGACTCTGTGTACTCATTTCAATGCTGATTCTGTACTTTTCTCTTGCCTTGAAGGCAGCCAATTTAAAAAAAAATTCTGACCATTATCTCTGAGCTTCATCGTTTTGGCTTCATAAACTTGGGCAGTGTAGAGTTGCTTCGGCAGGTTTTAAAGGAATCGCTGTTCTTTCTACTGGCTGAGGTTAACAAGAACTATTTCTGAAAATGAAAACAGAAACAAGCAGTGTATCTGTGCTGTACTACAATTGCTCAGCAGTGTAAAACAAAGCAACGTAAAAAAGAAAGTGCATCTTACTACATCCTGTGTGGGTCACTTTTCATTTGTCAAAGGCTTAGTCCATGGTTTTGCCTACATTTTCCCTTTTTGGCAAACCACTGGCTGCTTTTTTAGTGCTTGCTCTTTTCTAATTTAACTAAATTGCTAACTATTCAATCATTTAAATCATTGCTATAGATATGGAAAACCAAAGGCCCAAAAATGGATCCCTGGAGCACACCACTGCTTATATTTGCTCAATTAGAGGTTATGTCCCATTTTTCCTTTTTGTTAATTTTAGTTTGTGTATTTTCTTGGATTCCTACAGTATTTAGTCTTAAAGCTGACCTTTTGTAAGGGATCTTATCAATTTCTTTCTGGAGATATAATACATTATGTTATAAGCTTAAGAAATAAAGTACAGTTGAATGAGACCTTACTTTTCAAAATCCATGTTGATCATCTCTTAAAGTGCCATTATTTATGCAATCTATTATTTCTGTTCCAAGCTGGTTTTACCAGTAACAGAGGTAAGACTGGTCTTTAGTTTTCTGGTTCAGTTTTTTTCCCTTTGTAATAAATTGTTGTTAAATTTGCAATTCACCATCTGTTAGCACAGCTCCCATTCTTAGTGACAGTTGAGCCTTCTTGATTAAAGGTCTGTACATAATATCTCTTATTTCCTCAGGTACAGCTGTGAAAATACAGTCGTGTCTAATATAGTAATATATTAGTTTTAATCTGCCCCACTCTCTATGTCTGTAATGCTAGAACTCCTCAATAATGTTGATGAGAAGGAGTATTTTGAACAGCTGTTTCTCATCATTGTTTCTTATATTTCATAACAGCAATTCTATCAACAAGCTACTCGTTTATGCTTAAAAACCCAGATCCTTTTGTGTTGTAATGCATTTTCCTCTGTTTTACATCAACCCATTGCACACAGTGGACACCCTCACTTCAGAAACCTTGATGCAAGACTCACAGTTTGAATCATAATTTTGAATCTTTTACTAATTCACAAATGAATCTCTCTAAAAATGGAACAGGAAATGGAGATTATATATTTTACAAGGTTCCCTTGGGACATTTAAGCCAGTCTGTAATCTTTTCTGAAGATTTATAATACTTTTTTCCAAAGAGCTTAGCCCAAGATCAAAACTGAGATAAAAACATAAATAAGATAACTCAAAACATGCCTCATAAGAAGTTTAGCAAGTAAACAATGAAACAAGGAAAATTGTTACAGTATGCTTCTGCTTCTGAATACTCCAGCAAGACTCTTTGTATGCCCTAAGCAATGGTAGAACAGCTATGAACTAAGGGTGCCTTGCAAACCTTTCGGCAAAGAAGATCAGCAGCTTCAAAATGGGTTGATGGTTCAGCTCAGCCACTTTGGCTGTTAATGCACTGTATTATAAATTTGACTTTTGTGGAGCTGAAGCGCAGAGCTCAGGGATGATAAATCTCTCTCTAGATGTTTGAAGTGAAAAGTGTGCCAGTTTTTGGCCTGCAGGCCAGATGGAGGAGGATGATGTGGCATTCAGTGGAGGTGGGGGTGTGTGTGGAGAGTCGTTGGGGTGCACAGCTGATTCTGAAAATCTGGCTGTAAAATATAATGTCATTCCTCTCCCTGAACATTCCAAAAAAGTGATGTCAGCCTTCTGTGTTCCAGATCTCTTGCTAATCGATCTTGCATAGAACCCCAGCCAAAATTTGTAGGCATCCCCCTACAACCTTGTATGCTGGGTAATCATTTGTAAAGAAACAGAGAAATTATTTTTAGATGTGCTTTGTAAGAAAAGATGCACTCTACTCACTCAAGTACTTGATGGATTTGCATCCAATCTTATTCCTGTCTATAGCCAATATCCTTTTCGGGTTTTGTGCTAAATACTGTTAAGTCCCTTTTTGTGTCATTCTTTTCAGTTCAAAAGATTACATGAACAGAATACATGCAGCACTGAGTGCCTGATTATAAATGCTATTCAATTCAATAATGTCACTTCATGTCTTATAATTTTCGTGATTAAATGTTCTTTGAAAGTATTCATTCCACCCACCAGTTCAGTTCAGATTTCTGGTTTCCTGTCAATTCTGTGATTTACTTATTCTTTCGTTTCCCTGGAACACTCCTCATCTGACACCTGTGACATAAATTGCATGCTTTACACGCGAGTGCTACTTTTTTCTCCTACAGGCAGTTCATTGTACTTTTTGTCAAGTCAAGTGCTTATTCTCTTTTTTTTCTCCCTCTCACTCACACTGCTGATCTACGTTATCATCAGAGAATCTAAATGCATCAACAGCTGTGGCTTTGAACAATAATTAAAACATTCCGGTTAACAGGGAAAGTCAACTGTTATGCTGACTCAAATTCATAGGACCGTTCACAGAACAGAAAAAACAAAAAGTACAAAATGAATTTAGTTTGCAGGGGCTGCAGCAGGCAAGAAAGTGATAGTTCTGTTTTTGCAGTTTTCTGTTATTCTCCTTTGGTGTCGATGTGTCAACGAGCCCGTTTATCTGGCCCGTTTGGTACTTAGTGGTTAACTGATATAAGGTTCTCATTCAGCTGCTTCTTTAATAGAAGTCAAGGTATCAGCTTCAGCAGCATGGCTGGGTAACTTGTTCCACGCTCCCACAACCCTGTTTTGTCTCTGGAGCTTTTCACAACCTGGATGCACAGGGCTGGAGACTGGACCATCCTGTCCTGAAAGTCCTCAGTAGAAATGACTAAACCTTTTTGGCTTTTTCTTCAACCCTTTTGGTTTGGTTTACTTTCTCATATCTCTTTTAAACACCTTTTTTTTGGTCTGTCTTACTCTTGATGATGAGTCTGAGTATGAGGGGGGGTAAAAGAGATATGGACTAGGGTCTGGACACCTCCAGTTGGGGAAATTGTGGGTGGATAGTTCATGCTATTCATGGCTGTGCTGCTGAAGTTGCTAAAGAATTGTACGTTGAGCATGACAGACCTGCCTGAACAATGGCCTGTCTTGTCCATGTTCACACTGACCAATGTTCTGGCTGGCCTATGTTTCTGTAGCTTGTGGGGACAGCCTGCAGGACAGCAGTGGGAATTTCTCCTCGCCTGGGTTTCCCAATGGATATGGAGCCTACATGCACTGCATCTGGAGGATATCCGTCACGCCTGGAGAGAAGGTTAGCCACCCATGAGAACTGTAACTACGATATACACCGTATTGGCCATTCCACAGCCTTTTGGGGAACGACTCTTGTTGCTCAAGTTTTGAGAGTCTGCCAGATGGGTTTATAGTTGGCCTTGACCAAGTGAAACACTGAACTTTGAGGGAAAATGTGAGCTGGAAAAGTGGAACCCATTTATGGAACCCAAATGATGCAGACTTTCTCCTTGCTCCTTGACATTTTGTGGTGTATGGTTTTGGCGTTTTCCATAATTACACTTAAGAGATCACCCATGTGTGGAATAAATGAACACCGTGGAGAGGTCTGGGCAAGGTGCATTTTTGCAAGTAGCAGTACTTGACTGCTGAGTTACACCAGAGTCTTCACACCCATGTCAAAAAGGTGTTTACTAAATGCAGATCAGATGTAAAAATAATACTTTCAGATGATAATCTGTGCTTTACTTTGCAGACATGGTGACTGCTTTGTTTCTAAACCCTTCCTGATCTCATTTCAAAAGACCGAGAGTGTTTGTTGTTTTATGATTATCCATTGGTGAAGAAGTTATTTTATGAAAAAGAGGAGTATGCTATTTTTTAATATTAAGCATTGAGAATAAATAATACTTAGAACAATGTAGTATTAATATATGATATCATTACTCTCCTTTCCTGTATTTTGCCTTTCTGGCTTAATTTGCATGCTGTACACTACTTGACACACTTTTTGGACCCTTCTTTCTGGAACATGTCTTTCTGAAAACTGCTGGAGAACCAGACGCATTTTACTTCTTTGCTTGACCAGGTGTATGTGAAGACTGTATGAACATAAGCAAAGCTTCCAAGGAGAGCATTATGTTCTTCTTGTCTCATCTTTTGTGATGGTTAATTTTTGTACTGTTAAAAGAGCATCCAGAAAATAAAATTTTAATTCTATGACTGCTTGTGTGTCACAAAGTGCCTCTTGTTCTCAAATCTGAACATAACAATTTATCATCTCCTCTAGTGTCCCCTGGCACTGGCCTCCATGTTGAATTTGATGTCCTGGTAACTAAGCAGCTCTTGAAAGAATTTCAGACAAGCGGAGAAGGAAGGCAGGTTTCTAAATTTCATTCACTTCATCGCAATTAATCAAGTCTCTTGTTTTAAGATCATTCTGAACTTCACCTCTATGGATCTGTACCGCAGTCACCTTTGCTGGTATGACCATGTGGAGATTAGAGATGGTTACTGGCGGAAAGCTCCTTTGAAAGGTAGGTACAGTACTTTCATCTGATGGTTGACCACACTTTAGTCTTTAGTGGCAAGTCTTAATGTAAACTGTTAATATCTGAAATGTAGAGGTGTCAGCCTTTGTGGTCCTGGATAAATACCATGTGGACCCCCCCCTTAATACAATTGGTGAAGCAGTTTTTCCCCCATGTTGTGCTATGTAGTGGGGCTGATAGCCACACATCTTCCAGTTGGACAAGTGCCACACTTACTAGTTGCAGCAGTTAAGGTATTGCAGAATAACGATCAAAAAGCAATTAAATGCACAAGTGAAGAAATATGGTGTTTTTGTACAAACAGGTGAAATGTTCATCTTTTCAAGTCATAGCAATGCTGAATTGTCAAACTGGAATGGGATCCAGTAACTGAGAATTTTAAACAGCTGCGGTTTCCTTTCCTTTTTTTTTTCTTCCTCTGTTACGGCTTTGTTGCGCAATTTGCCTCACCCAGCTTCCTTTAATTTTCTTGTATACCTGCTGTTATATTTTAATGGAAATCAGGACCGTCAAAGAGATGACTGTTAAATTTCCTGTTCTTTTCTCCAGTTAGAGATTTCCGGCATCAAGTGACGCACAGGAGGAGTTAGCATGTGAATTGCTTTGTGCCTCCTGTAGTTTTTTAAACAGTGACTCTTTTTGCCTGTTTTCCCCAAATGAAATCTCCCAATTACTTCTTCATCAGTAAATTAATTGATTTCTTATTTAACAAAAGTATCTTGAAATGAACAGAACTCCTGTAATGTGAGAGAGTTACTCCCCATGCCTTGTAAAAGGAATATTTACTTGTTTTCTTATTAAGGGTTATTGGGTATAAATCATTTCAGAGGCGGGATGAGCAGGTTATAAAAGGGAAGATTTTGATATGTGTAATATGGTGGTTTAGACACCGTTAGCGTGAATAAGGATTGGTGAATCTCTTGTTTCAGGCCGGTTTTGCGGTGATAAACTCCCCGAACCCATCATCTCCACCGACAGCAGACTCTGGATTGAGTTCCGCAGCAGTAGCAACTGGGTTGGAAAGGGTTTCTCCGCAGTGTACGAAGGTAGAGTCTCTGTTCCCCCGGACCTTGTGAGGAAAGCCTATAAGCACAGTACATTTGTATATACATAAATAGAGCCCTCTAGGCCTATGGCTTATCAGGAGTGTAATACAGCCGACATCATTCAGTATACTGCTATCCTTGGCTGCTTCCAGGCATTTTTCAAAGTATTTGTCCTTTTCTGCCTAGGTTTATTTTGGCTGTGTGGTTAAGTGAGGCTGACGGCTGAGCGTTCTTCTGGAGACGTTCACAATAGCATGTGGCTGAGGGTGTGTCTTTGGTTCCATCTCACAGCGATTTGCGGCGGTGAAGTGAAGAGAGACAACGGGCAAATCCAGTCGCCCAACTACCCCGACGACTACCGGCCCAACAAGGTGTGCGTGTGGAAGATCACCGTGGCCCAGGGCTTCCATGTGGGCCTCACCTTCCAGTCGTTCGAGGTAAAACTCGTCGTCAGTCTTGTTTTTCTTTTTTTCTTCCAGAGCTAGTGCTGTTCTGATGTGCCGACGAGTTTTATCTTTCATTGGCAGCACAGAAACAAAAAACTCCCTTTTCATGAAGTCGTTTGAAGGAATAATAAAGCTTACAGCTGTGTCTCAAACCCTGTCGCCATTTTCCCACTTTCCCTACATAATACTACCCAGGCCTTCCTCCCCTGGGTGAATTGAATAATGTTCCTTAACAGAGCTGCCTTCTAGACACTCCTTCATATTGTAACGCTCCGGGGTTCACGTGTGTATGCGCCCCTCGCCACTGCCGCCCCAGGTCGGCCCTTCACCATCTGGGACTCGAACCCGAGTCTCTGACATCACTCAACAGGGACCCAGCCGCTTGAGCCAAAGCGAAATCTCCCGTCAGCCCGGCGGCTGCGGTCCCTGCTATTCACAGGGAAGGGCGGTGATGTCACCGCTCTGGTAAGCCGGCTCTCACAACCTGCAATGGTGGCCGTATGCGTTACACTATCAAGTGTCAAATTCTTCTGCAATGGAGAGCAGTCAGAATGTGTGCCAGGCTAAGTCTTATTGATCAGAAGTGCACTGCTTATACCCTTTATAGAAGAATGAAGTGTTGGGCACATACAAGTCCTCAGAAGCCCTCTTGAATCATCTAGCCAGCTCAATCACTACTTGAGAAGGAGAAGGCAATTTGAAACCCAGACTACGTGTCTATGTCAACACTGGCCTAACAAAAATATTATAAAATTGATCCAGTTATGTCAAAAATCAAGTTTGACTGCATTTAACATCCAAAATCAACTTTTGGTCAACAGTTCTTAGAGGTATTTTTAGAGCTATATTAGTTTTCAAAAGTATAAGTATAAGATTGTGTTATCAGCTGTTATTGGCCTCTACAAACAGAGCAACCAGGAAACCAAACCCAGGTGACTTCTGATTTTGGCAGAATCTGCTTATCTGCTAAAATATCGCTGAGTAATCAGAGAGTGCTTCTGTGCGCTTGCAGATCGAGAGGCACGACAGCTGTGCCTACGACTACCTGGAGGTTCGCGATGGGAACACGGAGAACAGCCCCTTGCTGGGGCGATTCTGTGGCTACGACAAGCCCGACGACATCAAGACCAGCTCCAACCAGCTGTGGATGAAGTTCGTCTCGGACGGCTCTGTCAACAAGGCTGGCTTTGCTGCCAACTTCTTCAAAGGTAAGAGGGTGGCGATAACGGCGTCAAGATACGATGGAGCTTGGGAATTGAGTAGAGCCAGAGTAGCTCGTTTGGTGGACCCTGGGCAAACAGAAGATATTTGTGTTATTATCATACAGTTTCATATGAATATTGCAGTATTGTCTTTTAGCACATTTCATGCTCCAAGCTGGAATTATAAATGGTGCTCAAGAAGGGGGGTAGCTTGAATATACTGTGAATTTGAATTGGTTGTGGTATTAATGAGGAGGAAAAAGTGTGACACAGAAATTATGCAATAACTGAAAAACAACTGTCTTACAAACCCTTCAATAATTTCATCAAAATTCAGGGACACTAATGTTCTAAATGCATTGGTATTTACAAGTGATTTGATTTTCCTTCCTATGCTGTTGATTGGAGGTAATTTTTCACATATATCATCAAAGAAAAGGACTGTTCTCCAGAACAGCTAGAGTGACATACTGTAGATGTCCACTTGTGTCCCTGGTCTAGGCAAGATCATTACTGATGTTTCCTTTTTTAATTGTCCTGCAGCTTCACAAATCTTGCAGATATCCAAGGAGTTAAATTGTATACAAAACCCAATACTTGATTTAAACTTTGTGTCTTAAACATAGGGAAGAGTTTCAAAATAACCAGAAAACATGTGATTTTACAGTACAACAGAAAGTAAAGTACAAAATTCTGTTGTATTCAGACAAAAATATATCTTTTTTTGAAGGATATGTAGAGTGGCCAACAGGTGGTGAAGTGGTGAAGGCCTGAGGTTTTATATTTTTGTGTAATTCGTCTAAGCCATCACCTTGGACTTCAAAGGTTTGGAGCGAAAAGTCCATGAGAGTGGGTGAAGGCACGGTTTCACAGGGGCAGGGCAGGTGGGAGTGTGGAACAAGCTACCCAGCGCATACCCAGGTTTCTTTCAAGAAATGGCTGGATGAGATCCTGGGGTCAATTAGTTACGAACTACAAAATGAGCTCGACAGGCCGAGAGGCCTCGTATGTCCTTACAAGCCTGTCTGCGTGTCTGCAAAGACTTTCCTCTGAGATGGGTCACAGAGACGATGCTCTCCTTCTCGCTTCAGAGATGGACGAGTGCTCGAAGCCCGATAACGGACGCTGCGAGCAGCGCTGCGTCAACACGCTGGGCAGCTACAAGTGTGCCTGCGATCCTGGATACGAGCTGGCCTCTGACAAACGAAGTTGTGAGGGTAAGTGAGTGGACAGGGTTTGCAGGATTCAAGCACCTCTCTCTCCAGTGTAACAAGTGCTGCGTGCAGAATGAGAACCTACTACTCTCCAACATGCAGTCCAGTGGCACCACTAGAGCCTGTGTCTTTATACGTTATGGTACATTTAAAAGTAACAGTAATTTCCAGGTATCTTTTTTTGTGATTTATACAGTTTTACATTTTTCATCCCTGAGGCTTCACTTGTATGCTTTGAAAAAGGGGGGTAGGGTGCTGTGGTACTTGTGTTAGATGCCAGGACAATGGAGATATTTTACGATAAAAAGTCTAGGACTAAGGCTAAATATTCTTCATGTAGTATAAAAGACATTTCAAAATAATAATCTGTAGCTGACCAAAAACCTGTTTTACTGCCAGCCTGATCTTTCCGATTGTTTGCATTTCTTGCCTGTTTTTCTTACTTGGCACTGCTGTTCATGAAAACATTGCCTTTGATCCCATCTAGTGGTGAATTTGTGTTATTGCATTAGAGAAAGGGGTGATCCGAGCCAAAAATGACTTGCTTTTGTGTCTCTCTTGTGCTGAAAAATCAAAGCATTTATCTCTGTACTCTCTGGAACACTGTCACTGCTGGGGAAAAGCCAGTGTGATGCCTGGCATTGCTTCTTCTCTGGCACTCAATATGCCACCCCTGATTTTAGATGCCTTTTTATTTATCTTAATTATTTTAATTGACTTTTTTGAATCGGAACAGTTATTTTTTACAGTCTGAGTTTTAGAATTACAGCACAATGCAGAGCCTGAAGGTGAAAAACAAATTAGAAAAGATAAGACTAAAATCTAAAGGAGGGAGCGTAGTAATGAGACATTCCTGAAATACTGATATTCCCAGAGAAGGGGCAGTGAAACGTGTTGGTCCTGCTTGTAATGTGCCATGTGTCCTTCTGAGCACAGCTGCCTGTGGAGGCTTCATCACCAAACTCAACGGCTCCATCACCAGCCCAGGCTGGCCCAGGGAATATCCTCCCAACAAGAACTGCATCTGGCAGCTGGTGGCGCCCACACAGTACCGCATCACCCTGCAGTTTGACGCCTTCGAGACCGAGGGCAACGATGTGAGTGTGATGTCCAAAACGCCAACATCATCCAGCTCGTTTGTCCCTCCTCTCAGAACATCAATAATGCACTCACTTACTGTACCTGCCTGACACTTCTAAATCCAAAACAAGATACATCTGCACTCGTTCATACAGCTGAGTGCTTTTACTGAAGCAGACTGGTTGATTCGCTCAAGGGTTCAACAGCAGTGTCTCATCTGAGATTTGAGCCCATAACCTTCAAGTTATGAACCCAGAACTCAGACCACTGCTCCTCACTGCTGTCCTTGTGAAAGGTGCTTTACTTGTTTTGGGTCATGAATATTTTTCACAGTTGACAGCTATCGTGGATCCTGACACTGTGCGTTTCTTTTACACGGCTGGTCTTATTTTCCTTCCTGCTCTCAGAACATGGAGTTTGATACTTTAGCCTTCATGCGCTCTGCTGGTTTCCTGGCTCTGCTCCTCAGGTGTGTAAGTACGACTACGTCGAGGTGCGCAGTGGACTGTCGGCCGACTCCAAGCTCCATGGAAAATTCTGTGGCGCAGAGAAGCCCGAGCCCATTACTTCTCAGTACAACAACATGCGCATTGAGTTCAAGTCGGACAACACTGTCTCCAAAAAGGGCTTCAAGGCACATTTCTTCTCTGGTAAGTCGAATGGAAGACTAGGACACTGTAGCATTCTGCTCTCTGGAGGAAACAGAGTCACAGGACCAAGTGCAGTTTCGTTTTTAAACTATACATCACAATGCTATATTATCATAATTATACAGCACTTTTCCTTCTGTATCAAAGTCCTGTTTGGAAAGAAATATACAGTATAGGAAGATGTTAGGCTTCATTTCTTCTGGTGATTAAAATGACTTGAATTTCGTCCTAAATATGACTTTAGTGATCTAAATTGGATTGTACTTGCTGCAATGAATTTTTACATCGAACCAAATAAATTATTTATTGATTAGTGTTTTGGAGGAACGTCTTCATCCTATATGAACGAACAGGTTTTCATGAATCATTTTAATTGGGAGATCTCCTGCACACATCTCTTTTGGAAGAGACCCCACAGTTTAAATGTGTTGTTCTGGTTCGTTATAATTAATAATAAATCCTTCTACTTAAATAGCGCTTTTCTGGACACTCCACACAAAGCGTTTTACAGGTAATGGGGATCCCCTCCACCACCACCGATTTGTAGCCCCCACCTGGATGATGCGACTGCAGCCAGATTGCTCCAGTACGCTCCCCCCACACCAGCTATCAGTGAGGAGGAGAGAAGAGTGATGAAGCCAGTTGGATGGGGATTATTAGGAGGCAAGATCTGTTTAAGCCCAGTGGGAAATTTGGCCAGGACAGCAGGGTAACACCCTTCTTCTCGAGAAACACCCTGGGATTTCTAGTGACCCCGTCAGTATACAGTGTGTGGGTCACTCAGAATACCCAAACAGACCGCAGGGTGAGCGCCCCCTGCTGGCTCCACTAACACCTCTTCCAGCAGCAACCTTAGCTTTCCCAGGAGTCTCCCATGAGGTGAGCTGCAGTGAGCTGCCAGGTGTGAGTTGCAGGGCGATATAGCTGCTGGCTAGTGTCAGCACAGAGTCCAGACCAGACTGTGTTTGCTGTCCAAGACCACCCTCTCAGTGGAGAATCTCTTGAAAGCCCTTCAGGTAGCCTCATCGGGGGGGGTGTCTTCTTTGTGGTTTTTTGGCAGACAAGGACGAGTGCTCCAAGGAGAACGGTGGCTGCCAGCACGAGTGCGTCAACACGTTCGGGAGCTACACCTGCCAGTGCCGCAGCGGGTTCGTGCTCCACGACAACAAGCACGACTGCAAGGAAGGTACGCTCGCGTGCGCCGAGGGAGGCCCGAGCTCTCCGCGGTCAGCCTTTTTCCCGCCAACTTTGACGTTGACACCAGCTCAAGGAGCTGGGCGGGGTCCTGACCGCCTGCTGTTTCTTCTGCAGCTGGCTGCGACCACAAGGTGACCAGTGTATCCGGTACCATAACAAGCCCCAACTGGCCCGACAAGTACCCCAGCAAGAAGGCATGCACCTGGGCCATCGCCATCACTCCAGGGCATCGCATCAAAATCGTAAGTTATTCCCGGTTTTTCTGCTCTGCGTGGGGCCTCAGTGGCATTGCCTAAGATGATGTACCTTATTCCTCTTACATTATTTGTGCTTTCAATCTTGCAGAAAATAATGATTGATTCTGCTGCATAGTATTATATTGGTTATCATCATATCTCTTTTTCTTCAAGTGCATAGGTGACTTTTCTTAAGGTTATTGCAATACATCTTGGGCACAGCAATTTCTTTGGGTAATTTACAGTGGCCAACAATTTCTCAGTTTTCTACCTCAAACTTCTGAGTTACCAACTTTTAATCAGCTGCCTACTTCATGCCCTCGTGGCCCCAGAAAGATGTATAGGTCCTCCATGAAATCAGTTCTTTCTCTTTTCCACTGCAGCACCAAATCATCAGAAGGAGGCTCAGATAGTAATTCTGCTTAGTAATGGGCACCCAATGAGCTGTATGGGTTGATAACATGAGCCAAACAGAAGAGGTCCACATAACACATGATGGCAACCGACCAATGCATTTGGTTTTTTTGGGGGGAATCTCCATCATAGTCAATCTGGGACATGGTCCAAGCACAATTCTGTGATCTCTAGAGCCTGACCTGTACACTAGGTGGAGGTTTTTACAGGTTTGGCCACTGGGACTCATCATTGTATTTCCTAGCAGTGGCAGTAGCAAAAGTTTTTTCTGTCTTGCAGGCTTTCAATGAGATTGACATGGAAGCTCACATGGAATGTGCTTATGACCATGTGGAAGTCTTCGATGGGCGAGATGCCAAGGCGCCCAGCCTCGGACGATTCTGTGGCACCAAGAAACCCCCTCCAGTCATCTCCAGCGGAAACAAGATATTCATCAAGTTCTTCTCAGACAACTCGGTGCAGAAGAAGGGATTTGAGGCTTCCCACACCCCAGGTACAGTCGTGAAATCATGCTTTTAAAAAAACTCCACCGCCAATCAGGGTTTTGTTTATAAGAGCTTTCTTTAAAAAAAACTGAAGATGTCAAGTGTTGTTCTCAGTAATGCTTCCAGAAGATCATAATTTCCACATTGTGCTGCTTTATGTATTGTGGAACAAACTAGAACAGAACTTAGGGTTGCGACCTGACCATTGTCAAACTCCAAGAAATAAAGAGATCAGACAGTGACATGTAAGAATGAATGAGGTTAAGATGGTTATTTAACTGGATTCCAGAAGCCGTAGTCAGCTTTAGTATCTTCTCTGATCGCGTCAGTAATTTCCAGAATGAGTTCTGTTGCTAGAAATGATGCTGATGTATTCATGTCATCAAGAACGATTCTACTCATCACGTAGTTGTGGAGATGGATATGTTTGCATCTTTATAGATCACGGAGCTCCTTCAATAGAGAGGAGCGGTACCAAATGACCCTGAAACTTGATGGGTTTTCCAAAATAGTAACATAGTTTCCTTGTTTATTTTATAGCCTGATATATAGGCAATATTAAGAAAGACATTGGAGCATAGCAGCAATGATGACTTGAAGTTGGCAGTAATACTGGGTTGTAGGTTGTGGATTGTTACCTGGTGTTTCTGAGGCCTAGGTTTTTCATTTGGAGCCGTGTTCTTATTCACCTGTGGCAGAGTGCGGAGGACGTCTGAAGGCAGAAGTCAAGACAAAAGACCTGTATTCCCACGCCCAGTTCGGGGACAATAACTACCCTGGAGGCTCTGACTGCCAGTGGGTCATCTCAGCAGAGAAGGGCTACGGAGTGGAGCTTATCTTCCAGACCTTCGAGATTGAAGAGGAGGCCGATTGTGGATATGACTACATGGAGCTCTTCAATGGCAACGACAGCAAGGCACCCAGACTGGGGCGTTACTGCGGCTCTGGGGTAAGGAGCTGCAGGCTTGGGCCTTCTGGCTCTGGCTTTCTAAAGGACTATAGGTTTGGCTCTTAAAGCTGTATTTTTAAGAGCGAGGACCTTGGGGGGTAAAATTGATCTTGGTAAACTTGGTTAAATTAAGATGTTTCATTGTTCGGTGAGAACAATGTCCTGCTCTTTTGAGCCAAAACTGTTGCTGCTTTCCCTTGTGCCAAAAAAGATGTGGCCATAAGTTTGCATTATTTGGCCGGTAATGTTCTATTTTTGGCAACAAAATTATAACAAAATGATTTAATTAGTAGATGCATGCAATGTGATACGTTATGTGCTTGAACAGATCATTTTCATAACACTTTCAAGATGGGGGGGGACATAAATTTGTGTTACAGAAGCCAATTATGTTTTTTTAATGTGCCCTTAATTAATTTGTCTTGTTATTAATGCGCCTGGGCTCCAGTTTCCGGGATAACCATAGAAAATGAATTGTCTTTCAAACGACGACAATAATGTTGCGCAGTGCCTTGAGTCACAGCGGGATTGTGTTTTTGTATTGATTGTATTGCGTTTCAGGATTGTATACTTATCTTTTTCGGTCTGCTCCTTCAGCCCCCAGAAGAGATCTACTCCTCTGGCGACTCGGTCGTCATCAAGTTCCACTCGGACGACACCATCAATAAGAAGGGCTTTCACGTTCGCTACACCAGCACCAAATTTCAGGACACACTGCACTCTCGGAAGTGACCCCTGAGGGGCCGGGCGGGGCAGAGGGGGAGGCGGAGGGGGTTCGCGGAGAAGCGCCGGCAGGCCAGCCTCCGAAGACCCCTTAGTCGCAAAGCTTAAGACCACGAACAACGACAGCAAACACAACCTAACCTCGGCACACAGAGGCACAGGGGCTCGGCCCCTGACTGTGAGGATTAAAGCCATCCGTTAGCAGACCTTGTTTTTACCTTTTTGAATTTGTTTGATTTTTTTTAAATAACGGTTATGGTGGGGGGAGGGGGGAGAGGGGTATGTGTTTAATGGCTAAGAGGACTTCTGGGGAAATTTCTGACCTTGGATTTTTTTTTTTAAACCATGAAGACTTCTCAGGATCTGTGAAAGAGCAGGGATCGGATGATCGGATACCTGCCTTTGTCGGACTACCACATCGCAGGGACGAAGCGGCAGAGAATCTGCACCCAATCCTGTTTCTCTGGGATAGTCCTTGCTTGTCACTCTCTCTTCCTCGTCGTTAAACGGACAAATAAGTTGATTGGATTTGTGCTTTTGACATACGTTTGTCAGACAGTTCCATGTGATCACAGGAACAAGCACGGAACCGTACAGCTGCAGTATTAGCATTTGTAATTAGCATCGTCCTGGCTTCCAGTCCTGGGTTATTATTCATAATAAAACATTTTTATTACCCTTAAAGAGGCAAATAAATAAAAAGAGCAGTTGTCTTATTAAAGGACTAATAAGAAAATGTGGCCCAAGTTTGCTGGTCATTAATTGCTTACCTCCCGAAGAGTTTTTAAGTCCGTGTCGACGTTAAGATCAAATATGTTTCAGCAGTTTTAATTTCATTACCAGGGGTCTGCTTTGCAAATCCTCCCTGCCTACAACTGGTCAGGCATCAGTGGTGAATGTAAGATCTTATCCAGTTTGAATCATACTTGAACCAAGACTTCGTCTGTTATATATTGTTTCATCTTTTTGTTTTTTGTGTGTCTACCTTATTCTACTGCCTGTAACTGAATAGTTCTCTCCAGCTAGAACTCTTTTTCTCTGAAATACTTTACAGGAGTAAAATCCTTTCCTGGTGGGATATGGGCAGTATGACATTTTTATTTAAATAGGAATGCTTTGCATCTTTTTACATAATTAAATGTGAATCCTAATTTAAGTCTAGGTCTTAAACCCAGAACTGCATGCCAGGCCTCTGCTAATTCTCTTTCCAGGTTGAACAACAAGATTGCCTTGTGATAATCTGCCACCTGGGTTAACAACTGGATTGAAGGCTTTAACCAGATAAGCAGTGTCCTGCGTCCCGGTGATTGTAGGTTCTAATTCAGTTTGTTTTGCTCACAGGCTGTAGTCATCCACAGGGGCCAATAGGACTGTGTGTGTTCTCTGGCAGTCTGGGAATATGCCATGAAACAGTGAATCCCGAGGCTGGTATCAGTGGGACCCAGTACAGTTTACACATTTTCCTATCCTGTTTCCCATTTTGGGTTAAAGTTATGGATACAAATTATATACTCAAAAGCACATGCAAGGACATGTGCAAACCTTTGGCTTTGTTAGATCAATGCAAGGAAATGGCAATATGTTGGTATTAATTATATTTTACAGAAATGGAAAAGATTCATGATCCAAAACACTATGATTCTTTTCAGTTGAACTGCTCAGACAAGTGTGTTAACAGTATTAAATATGTCTGCCTACCTGCTTCAGTGATACAACTTGGACAGGATCCTGCAGTTCATGAAACTCCCGAATGAAATATATGATTTTTTTGCCCTGCAACAGGAGTCTTATCTCTTTCCCTGCTTTTGTCATTTCTCCTTGCGCGATGAAAGCAGAAATTTTGAAACCGAAGCCAGTCTTCCCATTATATTATAACGTGACATTAAAAAAATCATTTCAATATCTCACAAAAGGTACACCCTTTAGAAATGCAAATAAAAAAGTAGTATCCTATCGATGGTGAAAATACATCTCTATCCTAAATACCTGCAATACTTTTACTACCTGTGATACTTTTTCTATAAGGTGGATCATTCTGGCGATTGGCTTTTTATATCAGCAAGGTCTATGAATTAGTCCTGTGCATCTGCATTCATCATCAAACACTTTTGCCCTCTGTGCTGCAGAACTTATTTAATATTTTCTTCCTTCCAGGGTGACCTAGTCTGTTGCTACAAGTCTCCCCATTGACATGACTTTCATTGAGTAAAGTCTTCAGCTCGGCCACTTAAACTGTTACTTTCCTTATATTTCAAAGCTTCTTTGAGTGAGCTTGCTTTGTTTTACAGAACACTTTATCAGTCTTTGTGTTGCGTTATGGAGACAATAGGAGAGTTTGGTAGGAGAGGGCACATTCGGTTTTACTTCTAATCTAAGAGCACAGGTGTTGAGATGAGAGGTTGCTTTCACAAAGCAACAAAATGAAAGTTACATCACAGTTTTGGATGAAGGGCGCAAACACTTTTCAGACATTCCAGGGAATCCTTGAGATACACAACAGTTATCCCTTGTTTTGTTGTCAATTCCTCTGCTTATTTGGTCGCCTTTAAGAATAATTGACAAAGAGATTCAGATTAGTAACGCACAAAGAGAAACAATATCTTCCACACTCACTAAGTATATTACATATCCTGAACATGCAAATATTCCAACATCTTATCCCAAATTTTGGAATGCTAGTCTTCAGATTTTAGCTTGGACCATTAGCGTTTTTGTTTTGCTGAGCCAATCTGGCCAGTTTCCACCTGAAGGGAACAAGACTGGTATAAACATCAGGTTCCTTCATCCAGGAAAACAGTGGTAAGATATTTAAACTGCTATCCATGTCTGAAATCCTGCTACATCCCTTTCTCTCAAGCAATAGCAAATTACAACTGTTTGTTTTTTTTACCTCCACAGCCTCTAAGCAGTCATTTTCAGTCTAATGTCCACAACAAAACAGGGAACAAAGTAAAAGCACATGTAACAGTCCAGGGACAAGCTGATGACATGACCTGCCCACACATTATAAGGCATGCCTTGTCATGTCGATCTAGATAAGACTATTTGCCATTCTAAACCACAGTGTGACTGGGGCATTTCAGTAAACCACAGATATATTACCAAGGCCTTCACCCCTTTACCTACTAGTAGCATTTTCCTTGTGGTGAATTGTATTTTGTTATTCAATAAATGATGCTGACTTGTCGACTGTGTCCACTCCTTTTTTTCTCTCTGTCTGCAAGCTCCAGTCTGGCTTGTGTAGGTCTAATTTTGTCATTGTGAAAGCAGTGTTGTGAAATTATTTTTCCATTTCAACAAGCTCAGGCCTCCTGTGTTTCTTCTTTTAAAATATTTTGCCAGCACCCTTCTTGGGTTGGACCCTTTAACAGAGTGGCTGGTGTTTTCTGTTCCTTCTGCAATACTGTGTGATCCCACAGTGATAGTTTTTAAAAAGCAAAAATTGAGTTTATACTGTAGGTGGATTACGAGGGGCTGTTTGAATTCCTACAATAGAGCAATGCCCCTGTCGGATGAGTTGATTTGATTGAAGTGGGAAGTCGCCAGGTTCAAAAGAGTTTTTAAGGCTCTATTACTCCCCTTTCTGAGGCTTCTCAATACATCAAATTCATCCCCCACACTCAATACAGTGGTGATTTCCAACCCTCTAGTTTGTTGCTGAATGTATCTCTACACAGAGAGTTCAGAGGTCACTTCTGTGACCGGTAAAGGAATATCCCGCCTGGACTGTGGTGCAGGCTGATATCATGTCCAAGATCATCATATAGGCTGTGTCCCAGTTCTCGCTCTGCGCCCTAAGCCCTTCCTCCAAGTCCACACTTCTGTGACGTGGAGCACCTGTGGACTTCATCTGCGTGAGTATTCAAGGGTGAATAAACAGGGAATCTGGACACTTTGCATGACGTCATGTCTCGCTGGTTACACGGCTCGCGGTGAAACTTCTGCTGTTGATGCTTCTTTTCCAGTGGCTAAGTGCAGGTCGGCAGATATTTTTTTTTTAAATAATTTTTCATGCTCCACTTTCAGTTTGATGAAATTGAATGTCATCTCATCTATCCCAGCACAGACACGTAGGGACGCGTCGTGTTCATTCATGTTGAGCAGGTTCTTCTCAAAATGGGCGAAGTAAACTAAGGAGAGCTCTCTTTGTATTACTAAACGCATTTCATATTGTCTGTCCCGGTACAAAAATCATAGTATGAGGAACATTAAATACCTCAAAGCTTTATATTACTAAATATTCCATGTATAAAATACACCACAGGTACAAAATACTCACCAGTTGAAATGGGGTGACAAAATAAAAGCTTCATGTCAAAACTTCACACCTAGAATACATACAGTATGAAACTAAAGTAGCCACATACAATTCTATTTTTAAATAACGAGTTATAATACTGTAAAAAACAAAAACTTCTCTTTGCTTTGATAGGTTACAACATGAAACGTCATCATTCCGCAAAGAATTGTGGGTAGTTCCTTGCAGCGGAGTCCAGAGAAGGGCGCATTGGGGACGGTTGTGAGCACCCTTGTGAAACATCACATTTAGAAACGAGACACCCTGAGCCCTTCCAGACTTGAGCGAGAACTTGCATACGAAGGCCATAAGACTGCAAGTGTGGGTGCTGGGACTTGGCCATAGACTCCAGTTCTTATGCCTGTTTAATGTGGACTGACTCCACAGACTTGTCCTCCTCTTCCTGTTTACAGTGACCACAGTCCCAGCCTGGTTCCTCTTGCTTAGAGTGGACCACGTCCAGGACTTCCTTTTTAAGAAGTACACACTCTACTGTAATAATGTACCTTCTGTACAGATCATCTTGGTTGTCTAGCACCGCTGGCCTTAAAAAAACATTACTCATTTTTAATGAAGAATAACTCATTCGAAAGAAGATGTACAACCCACGGTCAAAGATGAAAATCGTTCTGTCAAAATATAACGCTTGTTTTGTAGATGAGCAAGAAAAATTACACTATGTGGGTTACAAAAAACTCATTTCGCACCTGCTCATGTATTTTATTTTGAATGAACAACTGAGACGATATCTGTTTGTTTGATTCTGTTGTATATGGCTTTGTGTAAACTGCATTTTTTAAAATACACATTACAATAGATTGTTACATTGTGGGTGATGGCTCGATCACTGTGTTTAAAGGATTAAATGTTGGCTGCTTCTTAAGATAAGCAATCCTTCTTACCTCTATTAAATTATATAGTATAGCACATCCCTTTACCATATATACTGTATGCAGAATACTTTAACTAATAAATAAATACATACCTTGTAACATTTCACTTGTTTTCTGGCAAAGTGCAGAGGCATCAAGGTGATGTTTGTTTAGAAAAACCAAAGCATTATTTTATGTTTCCATTAAAAGCACTGGCTTCTTTGCTTTCTACAGACATGGCCAACCCAAACACAGCACCTGAGCAACTTTGGAATGACAGCCAAAGTGATTGTCAGAGCTCTGGGTTTACACAGCTTCACACACTACAGTTCATACAGATTTCTTTATGAGCTTTAAACAGTAGCGTGTAATTTATTTAATTTGACTATAATTTGACTGAATATTTCACACAGCCATTTATATTGAAGAAATCAGCCACAGGCTCAGCAAAGACAAAAATTCTAGAATTCTGTATTAAATAATATTCACATATAAAAACAAAGTACTAGACGCACATATGATAAAACGTCTCTTTTATGGTTATTCTACCTCTTTTATTTTAGAAATCTAGAGATAATATTTATAGGTTGTTTGCAAAACTCTTCAAACAGTCACTCTTGGTAGGGAAAATTGTCTATTTTCTAGAAAGTCTTAGTTCTATTTCTTGTTAGATTATGGAAATTTAATTGGAATTAACTGTAAGACTATATGTCAGTAATTTTCTAGGGGATAATATAGATGGATTTAGATAAAGTAAATCTTGCTTAACTAAGATTTTATTTTTTAATAAATAATATTGTAAATGCACTAAAGCAGAACATATGATATTTATTTTTAGAACATTTTTTGTAAGTTCCTCAAATTACAGGCAGTATTCATTCAGGGACACACAAGTGTGTCACAATTGCAGTCCCTGCCCCTTAAGGGCACTCCGGCTCGTTCACTTTTCAGTAGATTTTGTGCACCTGCTCCCTGTTCTTGCCTCCCTACAAAAGCCAGACGCTCACTCTGTTCCGGGCTCGGCATTGGCTTCCTGAACCAGGCGAGTCCGGGACCTGGAGCGCCTGGTCCCTTCCCCCTTTCCCCCCCCGACCCTTCGCCGGATTCCGCTCAGGCTTTTAACTTTGTCTTGTTCGTCTTGGATTGATCACCCGGCTCTGGACATCTGCTTCACCACGGATTTCCCTTTGGACTCCCTTTTGGACTGTTTGCCCTGACCCCCCCCCCAGTTCGTATCAGCCCTATTCCTCGTCTCTTCCCTGCGTGTGTTCACTCCCTTCCAGATTGTTGTCGTCTGCATAGGGTCTTTAGAAATAGAAATAAATTAAATAGAAATAAAGTGTGATGTAATCTAGCTGGGCTCTGTACTTGAACTATTGCTTTTCTGATTCATGATTCAGGTGTAGTCAGTAAACTACAGATGATACAAAAATAGAAGGATCAGCCAAACACTATAGTTCAGTCAATTACATTTAAAACGATTTAGATAAAAATCCAGATTGCAAAAATGCCTGCAGATGACTTTTAAATGCACATGAAAGCGAGGATGTGAATGCAAGTAGTACAACCATCAACTATAACTACAAAAAGGGGAAATGCTGAGCTAGAGGAGGCTGCCTATGACAGAGACAGGTTTTTGTGTTAACTCATCATTTACATCCTCTAGACAAATTCACGACATCCCACTGAAGCTCAGCAAGTGTGAGCCTGGCCAGTACCTGGATGGGTTGGTGGAGCCAATAGGGGGCGCTCACCCTGCGGCCTGTGTGGGTCCTAATGCCCCAGTATAGTGATTGGGACACTATACTGTAAAAAGGTGCCGTCCTTCGGATGAGACATAAAACCGAGGTCCTGACTCTCCGTGGTCATTAAAAATCCCCGGGTGTCTCTTGGAAAGAATAGGGGTGTAACCCCACTGTTCTGACCAAATTTCCCCCTGAACTTTACCAATCATGGCCTCCTAATAATCCCCATCTATGAGCTGGCTCCATCACTCTGCTCTCCTCCCCACTCAGAGCGTGGGTGTGGGGAGAGAACTGGAGCACTATGGCTGCCGTAGCATCATCCAGCTGGGAGCACTGGTGGTGGTGGAGGAGAGTCCCCGTTACCTGTAAAGCGCATTAAGTGGAGTGTCCAGAAAACTCCTATGTAAGTGAAATGAATAATAATAATAATAATAATAACAACAACAACAACAACAACAACATTATTATTATTAAATTGTGGAAGCAAATGAAAAGGCGAAATTTTAGGATATGTAGTCAAAAGTGTAGAATACAAATCAAGGGCTGGTACTGTATGTTAAATTGTATAGCACGCTAACAAGACAATTTCCATAAAACTACGTGGAAACAAGCATTCAAATTCCTCGGAGGCATAGACAAAGTCGTCTCAGTGGATTTCTTCAGAATAAACCCAGAAACACGAACCAGAGGATAAAAATTGAAAACGTGAAAATTAAAAGGCTTTTATCAAGAAACGTCACTGCTCTTTCTAATTGGGGATCAACTGGGGATTGTGGTATAGTTGGTAAAATAGTGAAATTCAAAGATATACCAAATTGGAGGATTAACCAACACAAGCTGCAAAATTCCAAAACATTTAGATAGTATTCAAGACTGAGCAGATGTCTCAAGTCTACATTATTCGAACTGATCCAAGTCTCAGAAACTACTAACTCTCCCTCCTTCCCTGATCCGACAGTGTTAGTGGGGAATCTGAAGACCTGCTGTTCGGCTTTTTACATTTTATGATCAAGAGCGCCATCATTTGCACAATTACAGCGTTGACGATCTGAGTTTGATTTAGTTTTTTGATCAGTTCGAGCTGTGAGGTATTTCGTGAAAAACCCTGCGGGACAGGACTGCCTGGAATGACGTGACAGGCTCTCACAATCAGCACCTAGGCCAGCGCCTCGGCCTCAGCCGCGTCCTTGCACCAGATCCGCCAGGGAGCTGCTTGCCGACGTCATCGATGACGCGAGGGAGCGGAGGGCCTCGCGCGCATGCGCAGTGGGACTTCTCGCTCCCGTTATAGCGAGTGCTGTGGCAGGTTTTCGCAGTGGTCGTGAAAGATGGCGCTGAAGGCGATCAGAGGGATGGTGAACGGGGCCATGAACGAGCTGTCCTCCACCGTGAGCGGGACCAAAGCTGCCGGGGCCCGCGAACACGTACAGGCTGTGACCCGGGACTACATCTCCCAGCCGCGGCTCAGTGAGTAACAGTCGCAGGCTGGCTTTCTTGTGTAACATCGGGCACCTACTGTACAGCACTTGGGGGCAAAAATGTTTTTGATTGTCGCATTTCTGTCGTATTCAACGTCGTGCAGGTAGTACGCGGTGCTCTTGACATGGATGTTTTTTCCTTGTTATGGATAGGCTTTGAAGATTGCGGATTGCACGGCTGTGCGGGCTGTGATCAGTGATGCGCAGTGCAGTTTAGGAATGAATGACGTTCCCGAGGCACGACTTCGGCTTCTTTTTGTGACCTGTCGTGTTAACATCTTTTGTAAAACGTCCCTTTTCAGCTCTTCCGAAATTAATTGCGTGCAGTTCAGCAGCAGGGATCTTTGTGCTCGATTTAGAAATAGAAACGTGCTGGAGGTCCAGTATACAGACGGAGCGAGGGACAATCAGCTGATCAAAATGACATCTGCCTTTTTTTGTGGTAAAATACCTACTTGCTGCTGGCTTTTATAAGGCAGGTTTTTTTTTGCAAGTCGATTCCCGTCTGAAAGAAGTGACGAGATAAAAAAATATATATTTTCGATGTGTTGGAGCAAATTTGTTATTATGACCTTAGATAATGTTACGTCTTCTCTAACACCAATACTATAATGCCCGTGATCAGGCAGATTAGACGTTTTGCGTTGTTGTTTTTGCCCGAATCGTTTCCCTGTTCTGTTTTCTCAAGATGGCCCAAACACCTTTGAAATCAAACGCGTTACAAATGTACCTCAAAGGATGTGTTTCAGGCATTTGGCCTTGCCAGAGAGAATAGAAGCACCCTTAATTTAACATTTTAACATTAGTGTGCGTTGCAAGGGATGCCTGAAGCTGGAGGTCAGATGAAAGTGATAGGGTTTGCTTTTTAAGAACTAGTACTGTATCAGTTTGAGCAGCAGATGTTTTCTACTGTGGTACAGTATATGCCCCATGTATTTACAATGGAGCAGGCAAATTTTTCAGAGGCACTGAATGGATGATTACAACACCCCTAGCGAGGTTAGTTTAGAAGGAAAGGTTTCATTTTGTATGAATTGCAATGTCTGAAACAGGCGCGAGTTGCATAACTGCAGACATGTTTCCCACAGGAAAACATTGCAATTCACAACAAATATTTCATATATATGGATATATATGTAGCAACAACAAATATTTCCAGTCTCACTACTGTTTGAGTTTCTACCCATCAGTAATAACCTGATTGGAAGCTAAATTTCACATGATGTTTTATCTGGATTCCTCTTATCCTTTGTGCTAGTGCTGAAAAGGATTTTGACCATGAAGTGCTTTGTTTTGCGGTAGGTATACAGTAGGTATATATTTCAATTTGCAGCATTGTAACTTAAAATCAGCACCAGCATTGTTAACTATAGTCTTAAAGGCTGCAGTGAATACTGAGGAGAGTGGTATTTTATACTGGTAACATTATTAGAAGTGTATAAATACAAGCTGTAAGGAAAATGAGCCTTGTACTCCAAATTCAGTCTTATTAGTCTTCTCATAATGGTTTGTTTTCAGCCTGTTATGTGAAACTGTGATATCTAAAATGCCTGCCAACAGTATATCTACAAGAGGGGGGTACTTCAGTTCACAGCCCGTGTTTTGGGGAAAACCTGATTTCTAATTTTCTCCTCCGCCTGCCAGACATGGATCTGAGTCACAGACTGTAAGATGGCACTGTCTCACGGAAGATATTGTGCTGCGATCTAAAGGAAACACTGATTTCTGACTAGCAGGACAACACGTGACACCACCTGAGAATGATTAAGGCCTAGGTTTTGCTTGGCACTAGAGAGTGCCGAGTATAACTGCATGCCAGTTGAACAGAGATGTGCTATTTTCTTCACAATTGTTAATGCAAACACTGACAGAAATTCATATTTTAGAGAGAAATGTCCGCATTGGGGAGATGAGTCGATTGCACAGTATTTTGATCCATCTGATCCATTTTGTTCCTGATGAGCAAGCATGTATTATCTCTTAACATTTGTATATCAAAATTGTCCCAATATAACATAATGATTTAAATATCTGGTGCCTTATGGCTTATGTCCAAGAGTCTGCAATTTGAAAAACCTGATTTGGAGTGGTACTGTTATATAGATAGATTGATGACAATAAGTAGTTCGTAGGTAATTCATACCTTAAGGAAAAAGTAAAAACTCTGAAGTCGTTTGTGTTATTCAAAATAATTAAGAATTGCCAAGATGATTTAATCGCCTTTTTATTTAGATTTTTAAAAATATTTGTGCTCTAGAACAGGGGTTCGCAGTGCTGATTCTGGAGGGCTTTGAGTTACACAATTGAATCTTTAACTGACTACATAGTAGGACTGATTTGAACTGTTTCACCATTTTCAGCGTTTAAACCTGTTGGAGGTCACCTTTTAACTGTTGCGTTTCATAAGTACTTTGAGTAGACAAAATAAAAACTCAGAAATATTCCAATCAAGCAGCTTGTTAGCTCTGTTAAAGCTTCACGAGGGTTATTGTGCTCAGCTGGAATGAAACCTGGCAGGTGTTGATGTCTCCAGGGCCAGCACTAGGAACCCTGGCTATAGGAGCAGTGGCCCAAGAAGGCCGCAAGAGTTTTTATCTTCTGCTAACATGGAAAAATGTCCCGAAAAAGTTCCCTTTCCGTCTTGTGACCTGGTCACCATCATTCTGTAGTCAGCTTCCTGAGAGACTGGAAAGGGGAACTCGGAGCTTTCTGACTGTGCTCCTGGTGCGTGACTGTTCTGGGATGGGGTGCTTAATTTGTACTGCTGTACTGCTCCCTCAAGTATGGTAAGCAAGGCATTTCACACCTCCACACTGCAGATTACTTGTTACAATACAAGGCCAGGATTCATCTGAGTTCACAGCGGATTTAAAGGAACAGTGCGTGTCTTTTAACATGGAGTGGAATTCCAGACAGGGAACCAG